CAAAACGTACGGTACTAATAATTGATAATGCAGTTGTACACGTAGATTTCCAGAAAAGCTTTTAATGTAACTGTAAGCTGTAAAATGTTATCCAACTACTTATTGTGAAATGTTGTTAGTATAAGCTTAAGTGCCTTAAAAATATCGTTTCTTTAAACCAAAATAGATTAAAAGTATTTCCCAAGGAATTAAAATGCATTAAAAGTATGAGTCATAAGTACGTGGGGCTTGTAAAGATACTTTTAGTTAAGTTTGAGGTTGTTACGCTTTGTTTTTGGTAGTTTAAGGCTTAAAATATACCTTTTTATAATACTTAAAGGCTAAAAATGTACCCCATCATAATACTTTAGCGCTCAAAGTATATTATTCATATCAGTTTAAGGCTTAAAAAGTATCTTTGAAGTAACCTTAATCGTTTAAGTGTATTTCTCACATTATCATAAAGCTCTAAAAGTAGTTGTAAGCCCAATACAAGCGCTTTAATTCAAGCACAATTTCTTTTTGTAATTCAATTTCAAACCTTTATAAATGACATTTTGTTGCTCATGCCATGTACATGTTCTTCTGTTCTTTTGAAAAGGCACGTATACATTCAATAGTGATTTTTGAAACAATGCCTTAATAAGTGGTGGCGTAGTATTACAAATGTAAGAAGAAAGTATAATAGGCTATTTTGGAGTAGGTATGCAGTTTTTGTATGATATGACGCTGGTAATGTCACTTGTAGTGTATATTGTCATTATTACTCTAACAAAAGTTTTTTTAAACAAAAAAGTACAATATGTTTTATATTTTTATTATCATACTACTACAATACAAGGTACTGTACTTTAATAATACTATATTAAACAGCAAAAACTACATAAAGAAGACAGTGTATGAGTAGCTACTGCTACGTATATATATACGAGCAAAAATTATGGAAAGAATTTTTAGTCAGACATCAAAGAACGTTTGGCTTGAATTTCAAAATATAACGGTAATCATTACTTATGTATACGTTTACATTGTTTTTGAAGGAAATGTACTTTTTCTTTAGTTTTTTGTCATCTTGAATTACTGTAGTAATTTTTTTCGCTTTTGCAGTAAACTTTTACTTTTCTAGTTTACTGCAGTAACGTTTTACTTCTTTAAAGTTACTGTAGAAATATTTTGAATTCCTTAAATTACTGTATTAGTTTTTATTGTTTTATTACTGTAGTATTGTAAGTTTTTTACAATCTGCCTTAATTAAAAAATTTTTATTAGGTTGTTCAAATAATTCTGTGCTCCTTCAATTTAAGGATTTGCTTTTAGATAAAGCACAGATCTTTTGAACAACACAATATCGTTACTTTTTGTAGTGTAACAAGTTTGTTTTGTAACACCTACAATATATTCTGACTTTGTGCTGTCTACTTTGTTTCTTACAAAGATGTACATTCTAATATAACACTCTTACCCTTGTATCTTTCCACTCTGCTGAATACAACCATACGGTCGCTATGCTTACGGTCAAATGTGTGACTTCATCACGTTTTTTTCGCAAATTTAAAACGCACGTTTTGCCTAATTTATTGATATAGCACGCTTTGTTTTTCATCATTCTTGTTACCATGTTGTTTCCTGGTCTATCTTTATAATATGTTTTCTACTACTGAATTTCTATCATATTTTCTATCTTCATTATACCTTTTTTCTTTTCCTTATCTATTTCCACAACATTCTAGGTCTATTCCTCTACCCTTCTACGTCCATCCCCCACTCTTCCTCACCAACCGCCATGCATAAACCCCCTTTATATTATGTCTGTATATGTAGTTTGCATAATCGTGTTCTGCTTCCGTCAACAATGCGGAAGTTTCAAGTTCAGGAAGAGGCTAGCCGTTCCGCGAAGCCAAAAAACATTCGTTTTTTGCTTCCGACTTTTGCCGCACTTTTGCCCTGCACGGGCCGAACAACATCTTCTTTCTTTCGGCCGTGTTTAGTTCCGTGTTTGTTTGGGGACATTGCTCCCGGATGAACGCGTGAATGCCCTGCGGTTCCTTTCCGCTATTCCCGGCGTTTTAGTTTCCCTGCTTTTTCTATTTCTTCTGATCCCCCTAAAATGTGAAGGTTCCCCCAAAAAATATTGAGCTTCCTCAATAAAACTGCAAAATACCCCGAAAATGTGTTGAATCTCCCCTGAAAGCGTGAATAAAAAGTTGGCTCCGCCTCTTTTTAGCATTGCAACAATAATTTGAATAAATTGTTGGCAATACAGTAGATTCCCCGATATAAACTCGAGAGCACGGAAGTTTATTTTAGTCTGTGTGAGCTGAGGTTCTTAGTCTGTGCCAGCTAAAGTTTGTAGTCTACGCAAACTGAATTTCTTAGTCTACACCACCTAAAGTCTATATGAACTGAAGTTTTTAGTCTGACAACTTTAGGCTAGGTGTGGTAGGGAGTGGCTTCAAGAGGACTGGTTGATCATTCGCTTATAAAAAAACTTTATAAAAAAGGTGAACAGACTAGTTGGCACGAGTTGATTAAAAATGATAGTCATTATGCATAGTGTCAATCGAGAAAAGACTTCCGATTTTGTTAACTTTGATAACATTTGATCTGTCTGCTTTTACAAATTATTGTCTTACAGTAGTTTGAGTTTGGTCATATTCAGTAGATGGCTTAACTTATTTTTTTTTATTTAAAAAAATTTAAAAATTAAAAAATTTTTTGATAAAAAGTTAAAATTACAAAATCTACATTTTGCACAAAATTCAGCCCACACACTCAAACAAACTTTGCCTTAGGTTTTTAACAAGCTTTCGATGTCCATGCCTTCTGTATAAACATTGTCTGCACCGTTATGAATCACCTTTCACTGTATTCGAAGCAAAAGTTTGTTCACTTCGTCAAAGGGGTGGTTTTTTGTTTTATCAGCAGGGGGAGGGTCTTCTACATTATTAAAATTTTTTTTATTGTAGGTTGACTTTGATCAGAGAGAGTTTTCTGCATTTCTATATTTAATCAAGAAGTCACTCTCTCTATCTTTTCATTAGTTTGTGTTATATTTCTCTATATTATCATTGCTTTGATTATATTCCTCTATATTATCATAGGTTTGAGTTATATTTCTCTCTATATTATCATTGCTTTGAATTATATTTTTCTCAATATTATCGTAGGTGTGCCTTATATTTCCCTCCGGGGGGGCGTGCTCCTCTCGTTTCATTAAACTTCTCCCCCCCCCCGAACCGAGCGAAAAAGGTTGGGCGCCTGGAGGGCAGGGGGGGAAGGCAGGGGGGGAGGAGAGTTGGGGAGGCCGTCTGTTTTCTGTTTTGGGCCGAACCCGGAACATTTTTTGAGAGTTTATGCACGTTGCTTTCGTTCTTTTGTCACTTACTTAATTTTCTCCCTTATTATTCAGCGGTTTATTGTGGGCATGTGGCTGTGAATAGGGGGTAATATATCTATATATGTCTATATATATATTGAGTAAAGTCTTATATATGTTTCTATATATAGGAGATGGCTTTCTATATCTATACAATTTGCTTAAAGGGTCTTTTTGTATGTTGCAATATATGATGTGGGCTACAAATTATATTAATCATGGTTTAATGGTCTTTTCTTTAATAATTGTGAAGTCAAATGTATATATTAGCTTTTACTATGTCTACTACAATATCTATTACATTTCCATGGCATTTAAGTTCCGCTTTAGCATTTAATTGAAGTTTTAAAGTCAGAAAAATGAATTTAAATGTTTTATGACCAATTTACTTCTTCCAAAACAAAACTAATTGCTCTAGTTTTGGTTCCGTCTTACCGTAATTATAATTGACCGGTGGCATCTGGTTACGGTAAACAAAGCATTTACTTCCTTGCCGTTAAGCTTACTGTACTTTGTTGCAAATTTGTTTATTTTGTTTTTAATTATGACATTGTTTATTGTAGGTTGTATTTTTTACTGTATAATGTGCCATATTTGTCGTAGTGGGTTACTGTAATATTTTTTAATTAATTAATTATATTTTTTTTTGTTTTTGAAGATACTATAACTTATGTTACAATTTACAGTAACATTTTTTACTACTATTCTTACTGTATATAGTCTTACACAGCTCTTTATATTAACCATTCATCCCTTCATACCAAGCATACAGCTTTTCGTTCCGAGAAAACTTAGTTCCGGCACGATAAGGAAGTGGCATTTCTCCCACATTTACTGTAATTCAATTTGTTTTACACACGTTCCCATCTCGTGGTATAATATGGGTTGTTTTTAACATTGTTGTTTGGTTTACAACATCTTGTAACTAATCTTGTACGAACACGTGATAGAAGCAGAATGGCATGTTGTGGTGGAGGAAGGGTTTACAATCTTACAATACGTGTATAATGACATTTTGTGACATTGTGTCGTAGTATGTTAGTTATATTATGTTATAGTATACTATATACGTTATGTCGTACTATACTAGATACCTTATGTCATACTATGTCAGTACAAAGAGGTTTTGAAGATTTTAATGTACTATAGTACGATGATAGACTTAGGTATAGTTTGGTATGTAATTCTGCAGGGTTTGTATGTATTTATGTAGGGATTGTGATATAGTATTATGTAAGGCTTATGTTTTAGTATATTAAATTACAGTTAAAAACATTATGATCTTTTGTGTTTTACTACAATTTTAATCATAACTATGTTCTCTAACTTGAAATCTTTGTATTTTTAACAGTTTATTACCTATTTATTAGTACGAAGTCACTGAGCAGTAAAATGGTTTACTGTGGGTTATCTTACTACATTTTTTACATATTTTTACTATGTTCTAGAATATAATGTTATATTACTTTTTAAAATTACTACCTGAAAAATTCCCTGCTACAATTTAAGCTACAAAACTACAAGAGTTGTAGTCGAAATTCGGTTGTGCTTAATTTTAACTTTGACGTCGTGTTACAGCGTGCAATTTGTTGATTATGTCGAATTTACTTCCGCCTTTTCAGTAACCGTCACTTTTCTCTCAAAAATGAATTCCGAACAGAGTCTCATCGAGCAGCTTAAACAAAAGGAGTTCATGGCGTGTCAGAGTAAGTTATTATTGCATCATCACGTTTGGTCTGGGATTTCTTTCCGAGAACTTGCTTTTCATTGAGCTTGTTTATATTGAGGTAGTTCCTTGTTAGAAAAAGTGGGGTTTAATGATGACATTTTTTGGGATTTTAAGATTTTTTGAAGCTTTCTGAGCTTTGAAAATGCAACTTTTTCAAAATTACAAAAAAAATTTTAAAGTTTTTTTTTCAAATTTTTTTACTAATTTTAACCTTCTTCAGATATCCTCTTCTCCCTCATGAACCAACAACTACAAATCCCCCAATCGCCTCCAGAAATGAGCATTTCCACGATGTTCAACTTGCCAGCCATCAGCCCAATGTCATATCTACCCACCTCCCCCTCACCCGCCTCTACCGTAATCCCCTCCTCATCCATCTCGCCGGTAGCGTCGCCTTCATCGTCGGTGGATTCGGGGATTGACGGCGAAGACGACAAACGCCCCCACCAATGCCCCGAATGCCTGAAGCGATTTCGATTCAAGTCGAATTTGTTTGAACACAAAACCCTGCACCAACGTTCCACGCCGTTCGTCTGTCCGTTCTGCTCGAAAACGTGCCGTCTGAAGGGGAATCTGAAGAAGCACTTGCAGGTTCACGTCAACTCGTCGCAGGAGTTGGAGGAGTTGTGGAAGAAGCGGTTCTCACGATCGTCTGGCCGACCACGGAAGCATCCTTTGCCTCAGCAGAGCCCCGACGTGCTCAGCGTGAATCAAATGCCAGTACAGCCGTTGAACAACTTCAACCTGTTCAACGTGCCCATGGTGCAGATTTGAACAAATTTTAAAGTTTTGGCAATACTACTAGGTTAGATACTACTAGTCATACATACTACAACATACTCAATGCAGTATGACATACTGCAACGTATTACACCATACTCGAAGCAGTATGTCGTACTCAAAGTTCTTGATAGTTATCCTACCGTTCCTATTTATTCGATGCCTCATCTACAACAAGAAGGCGACATCTTGCTCAATAATGATACTGTAAAGATTGTGTATATACCGTTCTGTATATAGTCTTCTGAATCGTATCTTGTCGCAATGTAATCTCCCCTGATGTATCTCATTATAATATTGTTGTTATTACCATGTTGTATACGGTCTAAAAATGTTATTTACCATGACAAATAAATCTATATATGATATATATGTTTGGCATTCGGGTGATGTATAATGTTGACATATAACAATGTGAATACAAACGTGGCAAGACGTAAAAATAGGCATAAGAAGAAATATATTTGGTAACGACGTAACAGCATGTAAATATATTTACATATACATTATGTTAAGGTAGAAGGGTATAACATAGTATGTTATCTTAGATGTACATTAATAAAAAACAAGCCAAAACGATGCCATTTATAAGCACCATACCATGTAAAGACTATAATGTATGTTAAAATTTAAGCTGTAACTATATAAGCATGAAATCACAAATGGCATGTTCTTAAAACAGACACAAAAACACCTGTTAAAGTAAAGCATTACTGTATGAAAACAGTCTACATTAAAATGGTTAATGCATATATTAATACTAGTATTACTACTGGTAGTACGCTGCTGGTCTAATCTAGTAGCAACGATTATACCTAGTAATATTAGTAGTGGTACTAGTAGAATTAGAACCCAAATTCAAAATAATAAATATTTAAAATTTTATTGAATTAATAAAAATAAAAATGTAACAACAATATCTATCTCATCATGACAATTTCTCACAAAACAAGCTAAAACTACTTTTAACCGGTGAAACAACAAGAGGTTCAGCTACAGTATGATACAGGCTTCTAAACTTGTCCCAATGTACTCGGCTGACAATTGTAACGCTAACATCAGTACCATTCGTCAATTGTACTATAACATTACCATTAAACTCAATGTCAGCTATGTTTGAAGGCTTCGACCTTGTTTCTTTAGGTATCTTCTTAGCGTCAGCTGGATACCGTATACCAACCCGAGCCTGCCAATTTATTGTGTATGGTTTGAGGTAGCTTTTGATATCATTTGGCCATGTTATTGATGTTATGCATGGTAGAGGAGTTGAAGTTGTGTTTTTGAAGGCAGATGATAGTTGTGACTGAAATTGTTAAAATACGTCGTTCAAACATTCTAAGTTTTTTTTATAATTTTGAAATATTTTATATATATGTTACATAGTAAGAAACAGTTTACTGTCAAAGTTAAACATGTACAATTCCTAGTAATTCATACATGTTTAAAGTAAATTGACATCATACAACTGGTGTGCCACTTTAAATTGCATAGCTTGTTATTTTTACACTATTGATTTGTGATTACTTAATAGGTATAAGTGAGTTTAAACATTCCACCAGTTTTCAGTGAAAACTAAGTACATCATAATGTATTTCAAGCTATGTTAGATTAAGTAGAAAAGTTGAAACATTTAATCAACTACAGTATCATATTAAAAAACCAAAAAAACTCTTGTCATTTTTAAACATGGTGAGCTTTGTTTAAAAACGACAAGACTTTTTGGCCATCTAATAAGTCGAGAACTTCTGTATCGCTTCCTGTATCATAAAATAAAATGAGCCTATAAGAGAAGTTGTGTAGTTCAGTATCGTATGATACTACACCTGATATAGTATCATACTATATTTAACACAGTAAAATGACTTTTAAAGTGACACTACTTAAAAAACTTAAATTATGTGGCATTACACCTCTTTTATCCAATTGTACCTTGAAATGTTTAACTTTCTATCTATAATATGTACATTTCCTATATTTCAAAGCAGATTATTCTACGTTTTCACTACATTTTAATCGCCACTTAACCATAAGCTAATAACTGAAACTACAATTGCTTCCATCGTCAATTGACAACGTGAGAAATGTGAAAATACTAAAATTACCTTTTGTACTATTCCTACATTTCATGGTGCTAAATTACTACTAGAATGTTCTGTTTGAATAGATACAGCTAAACTCCTATATAACAAACTCGTTTATAAAGTAAATTCTGTATAACAAAAAACTTTTAGCTTTTCAGCTAACACTATACGATACAATAAAACCCTTGTATAGCACTGGAGGTTAAGCCAAGGCTCCTTTGGAGCAACCCGGTCCTTTTAAAATCTTATCTATAACGAGCGAGTTTTAAATCCTCAGTAAAAGTTATTATATTAAGAGTAGGATTACTAAACTAATTTTATTATCGGAAAAGTTAAATCGGACCGTTTCACAAAATTGTGTCTAACCAAAACATCTAGTATTCGTAGTACTATGATATAAGCTTATCTTTTAGACTTATCTTTTGCTATTGTAACTTCACGTTTAAAAAACCATTGTTCAAAATACAGTAAACCAAAGCCCTTTAACAATTTTGAAAACTGTCACTCTAAACATGACGTTTTTTATTACTACCAAAAATAGCGTTATTGTAAAGCAGAACAAAATAAGTATTAAAAGAACAATTTATATTGAAATTAAGCAAGATAAACAGTTTGATTGTGTAATTCTCGTCATTCTGTTTATATTATTCTAATGTTTCCTACTTTTCTCACGATTACTAAACATCAGTAACAAGGAAGTAAGGCCCAGAATCTAAATTCTTTCTTGTTCACAGACTTTGTATTCTTGAGAAAAATTATTTTTCGTGCAATTTGGGGCAGGAACAAGGAACAAACTTCAATTTTTACAATTTTAAGCTAAATTGGCGTTGGGCTTCAAGCGGTAAGTTTGTGGTTTTTAAAATACAGAAATTACCACCAGAAAAAAGAGTTATGCTTGAGATGTAAGGAACATAAGGGCATTAATGATGTTCGTCGGAAAACGCTTTGGCACTTTAATTTGTTTTGTGAAGGTAAAATCGCTCAAAAAAGATAATTATGCATGTACAACTCAGGGTATAACACGTATAAATAAAAATATGAAAATTTTAGATTTGTTCAAATTGGGGCTTTGTAAGAATACAGAAATATAGTTCTAATTTTTTAAAATAAATTCCTTTTAAAAATGGAAACAGCAATAATAAAATTTAAGTCTAAATCCCCAAACGCTAGAACTTCTGTTTAACAAATCACTCCAGAATACTAAACCTTTTGTTATACAGCAATACTATTGTGTTGATATTTTTTCGATATTGTAATGCAGTGAAACTTCTGTATAACAAAAAAAATTAATAAAGAATACATTCAAAATTTCCAAAAAAATCGAAATAGAAAAGTTCCACTGTAGTGTTTTCATAGTCCAAAATACTTTTTCCGAGTTCAACTTTAAGCCAAAATTTTGATGTGTACCATTAAGGGTACCAACGCAATTTCTTTTACTTTTTTGGTATTAGAATAAAAAAACTCACAAAAAATCCAATTTTAAAAAATTTTTGATTTAAAAAAATCTTAAAACCCTTAAAATTCAATGAAAATTACAAATTATCACTTTCCATATTATCCACAACCCCCGTCCACGTTGTTTAAGCTAGCTTAAGGCCAAATCAAGTATTTAAATTTTTGAATTCTCTTTGTTTAAGATTACTGTAGTTTGCGTAGCTTTATCCACTATTTTAATTAAATTCTAAAGCCAACAGTTATACCATATGACTCACGCATGAGTTATTAACAAATATTCAGATTAGTGCCTGATTAAACGTTTTGTTATGTCTGTCACGGTTTAAGTGTCGCAGTGAGTAATTAATCGTATTTTACAAGTTTATTTTTAATTTTGAACTAATATTGGTTAGATTTTGAACACTGAATGCCTTAAACTAATTAAACTCTACCTAAAATTTAAATTCCTATAAATTAAAGTGGCCAAACTTATTGCCACTTACAAGCAGCACCTACGTAGCCACTTTCAAAGTACAGTACTAGGTCAAGATAAAGCATTAAGTACGTTGTGATCAAATTAAATAAAACTTCAATTGTCTATGTAATTTTGAGTCTAAATTTCATAAACTTCAACTTCCTATGTAATTTTAAGTCCACATTTCGTACTTTAACAATACGGATTACTAAGGTAATTAAAAAAATTTATTACATTGCACTTTTGGTAAGATTATTGTGTATAAGCCATTATATTATATTGATACTTAAAGATACGATTAAATTGGGTCAAAATATTGTTTTACGTTATTATCTTTTAGACTCTGTCAATATACAATATATAAAAAACAATTTTTTTTTAAAAAAAGTTAACAAACTCTTCCTGCCTTGCCAAGTTTTAAAAAAATGACGTTCTAACTAATTTTTTTTTACTTTTACCATACTTCTTTCACATTCAAGCCAAACGCTACCCCCTTTTAAATCCAGACCAAAAGCGATCCTTCAGCTAACTTTTTACCTCTTCTCTTTCAAATTTAGATCGAAACATACCCTTTATCCCATACAAGCCAAAAAAACTAGCTTAATATAAGCTAGAATTCATTATAATCATCAAAAAGTAATAAACATTGCAAATATAGTTGAACTTATTACAGTTTAAAAACCAGCTTAAAAATACCTTTCAATTGTGTAAACTTTGTGTCCTTGCAAAAAATACTGTAGCGTGAGAAAAAAAATTTGCCTTGACATATGAGAAAAATCTTAACGATCAAAGAACGTTGTAGCTTATGTTTCCGCCAGACAGTCTGGCAAAGTTTATCAAACAAACGAGTTTGTTGTGATAAATTCGATCAGATAAGTGTTTTACGAATCCACAAGGAAATTATATTTTTTGTCTGTTCAATTGGATCAAAAGTGGCATGATTACAAAAGTTTACAAATCTTATCTAAATTTGAAACTAATTTTTAAAATTTATATGTGTAACTCCTGTATAACAAATCGCTCAATGATTTGAAAGTTGTTTGATACACAGAAAACGTTTTTTGATTGTGAAAGTTTTAGGTTAGACACCTTGTTTGTTAGGTTTGATTTTCAAATTTAAACTTTTCACTTCTCACTGGCTTTAAAACTGAGCCTCTAGCTTCAAGAGAGCCTTCATGTAAACCTAGCACTAATTTTTGTGCTCAAACTATTACATAAGAAGTACTTGTTAACGTTAACTTAGCCTTTTGTAATATAATATTACAGATTGACTTATAAAGCCGTGACCGACCATTCAAAGCCCTGACTATAATCTTGTAAAAACTAATTATATTTTAATTTCTAGTGTATCAAAACCCAATAATTACAGCCGGAAAATACGACACCACCACGAACAGTGTTAATCTTGTTTGCGTATGTTGAAATCCTTTCAACTACTGTAAACAGATAGATTAGCTTTGATATAATTAACTTTCGAATATTCAAAGCATTCAAGTCACGTTGGGCACCCGATTAATGTCCGTACCGTAACATTCCTGAATACGATTGTAATACGAAGGCAGTGGTATGGTTTCCTAATACGCTGTCAATCTAATTTTACAGTCATTGAGAGAAACCGTAGGCTGAGTTTGGTAGACAAATAGTTGAAGCACAAATATGCATTACAGATTATTTGTTCAGAAGCTCAAACTAGCTTTTTTGCTACTATAACATAGTCTTACAAACATATAAAACCTCAACATATAAGTTATATAATACTTTAAATCTAGCTTAGTGTAAATGAAACGATAATGAGTACGTACTAAAACAAGATACTAAAAACAACTTAAAAGCTTATAAAACATACCACATCAACTTCATCAAGCCAATCCTTCCCAGCATCAACCATACACATACAAAAGTTTTCCGGTACATGAGCTTCTTTGCAGTTTCTATCTGTTGATATTTCCTTGAGCAATGAGTTTCCTACTGGGCCTCCAGAATGTTCAGTTAAGTCTAGTATCTCACGTAATGTGTCATGGAGATCAAAGTTTGTTGTTAGACGGTTCTAAATTTTAAAAGTTAATTTATATTTACATGACTTTGTGTAAATTGATTACAAGGTGTTCTGCTACACTACTTTTGGTTAAAAAATTTATATTTTAAACTTTGAACTGTGAGCCTAATAGCAGAAAACCTACTATCTCAAAAAATAGGTATCGGTCTGATTACAAAACAAAACAATAGAAATTTTATGTCTTGCCAGCACCTTGTTATGCCCTTTTGCGTACAAAGCACAAGGCATTATTTTATGGTTTGGTATGGCAAAACAAAGGCAAAGCAAAGGCGGAGCAAAAGCAGAACAAAGGCAAAGCAAAGACAGGGCAAAACCGGGCAAAGCCAAAGCAAAAGTAGGGAAAAGGCAAGGCAAAGGCACGGCAAAAGCAGAGCAAAGTCAGGGCAAAGGCAGAGCAAAGGCCGGACAAAGGCAGGGCAAAGGCAAGGCAAAAACAAGGCAAAAGCAAGGTAAAGGCAGGGCAAAGACCTTCCAATAAAGCCATCTATACTCCACGTTTTACAACCTCCGTACATTACCTGTTTACGCTTGCTATTTATGCTGTTAAAGTTAAACTTTAACGTTCCTACTGTATTATGAACAAAATATTATAGTAACTTCCATATCGTTTGGTCTTTAATTTTAAAAACTTTTCTTCCTCTACATGCCAAATGCAAATTTTACAACATTTAAATCTGGTTAAATGCCAATCGTGACACGACTAAACTCTCAAACTCTGTGCAAAACTTTTCCACATCAAAGCCCACTCCTACTATCACAATGTAATATCGAATTATAAAGATACGAAAATAGAAATTACGGTAATGCTTCCGCCGTATGTTTCCCAAACATCATATACTCAAAACGTGCACAAGTTAATCTATTTTTTGTAAATTTACATTTAATCTGCTAATTCTCGGTAACATGTATCACATCATTACGCTATGATATCTTGATGTATTCTACACCTACTATGACACGAACAATACACCTACTATAATATAATACCCTACTATAATATAGCGCTCCTACTATAACATAATGCCCCTACTAAAATATAATGCACGTACTATAATATAAACATGCTTACGGTGGCATAAACAATGTCAATACAATGAAATGAACCCTGACCGAACTGAATCAACTATGTTCAGTATATTAAGCCTATTATGTTAAGTTCAAATTTCTTATGCTAATTTTATATTAGCCATATTACGAAGGTTAGGGCAGGCTTTGCGTATGAGTAAGGTTGCAGGCGTAGAAAATAGCTAATGAAACGTGCAGTATAACGTAAAACTATGCAAAAATAATGTGATAACGTAGTTTTTACGTGTTGCAGTTATATACTTTAAGGTTTTTAGATGTTTTATAAGCCTTACTAAGGACAAGCTGCACCTCCTGTATAACAAACTTTGCGATAACGAAAATCCCGTATAGCGAAAAGCTTTTAAGTTCATGAATACACAGTGCATTTAAAACTCTTGTATGATGAAACTCCTTTACAACAAACAAGTTTTAAATCTTCCAGCACAACAAGTCGCTCAGAGAACATAAATTTTTTTTATAAAGCAGTTTTGTTAAAAAGATGTTTTAAATGCACTGTGTATTGTTAACCTTTAAGTTATACAGGAGCTTAGTATGTTTACCAAGGTTTTCATTATAAAGAAGCTTGTTATACAAGAGTCCTACTCTATTGAAACCTTCACAAAAAAAAGTAAAACTGACTTGATTTTTGAGCAAATTCTGATACTTCTCTGGATACATTTCTCTGAATCTTGGTGGTACATAGACACCAACCATCGGCATTCTTTCTTCAATTCGACCAGTATATTTCTTTTGAATCAATTCCTAAAGTTATATCTTTTCAACTACTGTGAACTAAAAATTTATCAACTGAAAAATACTTGAATAACCGAAATACGTTTTGATAAAAACCTTTTTCAACAACTATAAAAGATACTCAGGTAATTATAAAGTCAAGTATAAACCATACCATCCTCTGTCCATGATCGCCCATAACGAATAAAAACGAGTTTTCGAACAAATCCGTACTTTCAGCTAATCTCTTCAAACTGTTTGCAAAGTGATGATCGTATAATTCGAGGTGAGATGTCTTTGAGTGAGTTAAAGCTGTGAAAAAGTTGAATCCAAAATGACAGTTTTTTTGAAATTTTGCAGCGAATTTCTCCCAAATTTCGATGTAACGTTGTCCTAGGAAGTCGTGGGCTACACATGTGTGAGCATATTTAAAGTTTTCGTATATGTAGGAGTAGAAGGGTCTGAAAATGATAAAATTATATAAAGTTTTAGTATTGATTTTGACTTATTGTCACGGTAAAGCGCTATGGAAAACATCATGTAAGATAGGCTCCTATTACACTATACCACGAAACTCGAGCTTCAAAACATACGAAAGATTCAAAAATCAGTCGATTCTTGAAACCGACAAATTTAAAAAATTTTTTTTGAAATTTTTAAAACCGTGGCCTTTGTTGACACCTTACCTATAATAATAGTTAGCTGGAGGCTTGTAAAACCCGTTGAATTGATAATAATTTAATAACCCGTAGTTTTTGTTTCCAATGTCATCGTTCCAAAGCGTAGCACATCCAAGGTCCTTCATTTTTTGAATTAAAAAGTCAGAGTTGTCCCAGTAATTCTTCTTCAATTCACTTTTTGGTATCTCCATTTCAGGCCGAATACGATCATCAAGACCCCTAACATCAGCATGAAAGACACGACCAGCATGAAGTGGCACTAGGTTTATGGCTGAGTTGTCACCAACCTGAAGATAGAATTAGCAAGGTAACATATCGCTTATGCATGTTGAGTTTGGTTTATTTTTGAGGTAAGATTTGCAGTGGCCGTTAATCCGATCAGAGATTTAGTTGTTGAAAGGTTTAGTCCGGTCAATAACGTATGGGACCGATTCCGACTCTTGAACCGTATTCAACCGATCTGAAAATTGAGTCTAACCATTATACAAAGGTACCCTAGACTACATTACTATATTGCTAACCACTTTAAACATCAATCCCTCTAAATCAATTGTATCAAAAATAACTCTGCAAATCATGTCCTAATTACTTTCGAACCCACTCAGTAATTAATACTCTTTATTTAAAGCCTAATATCCAGAGCCTTGATTAGTCGTTCCGTTCCAAATTAAAATTAAATTAACTTGTTGTACTACAGTTATTATTAGCAATCTCATCCATTTTAAATGGCTTGTCACTCATTTCCTGCTTATTGTAACAGCTTCCTGTTTCTTTTGTACACGACATAATGTCATGCTTTGTTTATGCTTCACATGATGATGTATTTCAACATGGCACAGCGTAAGCATACCGTTTTGTTTTGTACAATACAGCACGGTTTGTGTGGTTGATGCAATGTTACATCTTTTGAAAAGTTTTGAAAGCTCTAACAATACAATTTTTCGGTTTTAAAAAAAAATTTGAGTAAGACTCTTTAAAATGTATCTTTAAAAACAAAAATCAGTTAGTGTAATATAAAATCTTTGTTACGCTTTTTTGTTTTGTAGCACACCTTGTTACATATGTACACATGTGGTTTGTGTGCATTGATTTACTTATACACTGCTCTACTCTGTCGTACTTTACCTTATAGTACCTTACCCTATTAAAGGTCATAATATCTCACGTTACTCTATCTCACCGTACCCTACCACACCTTTCATTTTGCGTTGTCTCAAAAACCAAATGCGATAGTTGCTGTAATCATATATATCTGTGTTATAACGTATTTACAGTAACTCAAGTTATTTTAGTTTTTTATAACACTTTTATCTCTATGAACACCGTCATCGCCCACTCATTTAATCTTAACATAAAATATCTTTAAATTACCGTTAATCCTGTGTCGCCCCCTCGGCTGACGATAACCGTATCTCTAAACCTATATATAGAAGCTGTGGTATCTTTGTTTCTTTGTGTGATAACATATACATAAATTTCATTACTAAGGAAAAAATTATAAATTTAGGTATCTGAGACTATTGGACATAGTATTTCTACACTACCTTACAAAAGATTGACAAAACATATAGCTACACATAGAAATATCAGCTTTCCTCTATCTTAATATAAAGCCTATATAACACTAATAAGCTTACACAAGCTTTACATACGGTAAACGTGCGTACATACCAAATATGGAAATGTCAAATCCCACATACATAGCAAGATAGAGAACTATGTACGGTTAATCCGGTGTAATTTAAGCCAATTTGGGCAAAAATGTTAACCACGACAATCTCTTTGTTCGGCTATCCCACTCGGCTAAATTTAACCCATTCCAGTCCACTAATCCTTAATTCGAGCTAATTGACTGAACACGGTTAGGAACGGATAAGCTTTCTAATTTTAATCATTGTTTCTTGGCTTTTTGTGGAGGTTACAGTAAGATTATGTGTTTGATAAGATATAAATTTAGATTCTTTATATTTAACTAGCTTAGTTTTTATTATAGTACTTAAAATAGAGGTTTTAAAGTTCGAACATCAAGGTGAAACAATAAAAAACCACTGAAATTGGCTCAAACTTAATAACCACAAGTCTAAAATTTAGCTTTCTTAAATTGTAAAACAATCAAAACTTACTTTATTATGCCCATAAAGTACAGTAAAGTTATACCGCTTCATGAACTCAACACTTTCAGGCATGTGCCTCAAGAACTGAGCTCGTGCTGTACTGTCAAACACTACTATGTTCACTCCAAAACTTTTTGGGCTATCTGAGATCAGTGGTGGCAAAGGGTTCATAGGTTTCACATTTGCATACACGTTTTTGAACACTACTGAAATTTAAAATAATATACTAAAAATTTTTTTGAAAAATTTTATTTTTGACTTTTTTAAAATCTGAATCAATTTCTTACCCTTTTGCTTCTTGTCAGTACATTTGATCAAAAAGTTGTTCTTGTCAATCGTCAGACGTTTATTAAACGGTAGCTAAAAAATTACATTGATTGTACTAAAAAACACCCACCCCCTTTTTTCCCTTCTTTCCCCTCTCTCAACCCGTTCTTCCCATGCCAGAAGCTCCTGCCTAGTTCTAGTAGAATAGCCTAAAAAATTGAGTTAACTTACCTCAACCCATGGCTTGACTTGAAAAATTCTATTTTTGTCTTTCTTCAGCGTTCCTGACAGTTCAATCATTTTACATTTCACCGGCTTAGCCCCTGTGTAATCATGAGAGTAACTGACAACAATATCACCATCAACCAACTGTTCCACCAGCACATTTGTTCGATTATGTTTGCAGTTTACTCGTCTGTAATGTTTGACATAGGTTTCTATGTCTGGCTCGACTAAAATTTTTTATACAACAAAACTCATAATGTTAACGTTTGGCTATGTCATTGTAAAATAAAATAGAAAAACTGATTTTAATTACATTTTACTTACTTGGCAGTATAAAAGGCGTTTTACAGCTATTTTCAAAAGGATGTGTTAATGTAAAATTAAAAAACTCGGTTGGCTCAACAATTTTAAAATGCTGGTTTTTTGTAGCATCTACATCATTATTATCCACTTCTGCTTCTTCTTCAACATCATCTTCTTCCTCACTTTTGCTTTCACTTGTACTTTCCTGTACCACTTGTGATAATTTAGGTACAAAGTTGACTTTAAAATCTGAAAAATTACCTTACTATAATAAATAATTTTTATTTTTAAAGTTAATTTAAAATTTTGGAAAGTTTGAAACCTGTAAATAGTAAAATTTTGCTAAAATACAAGGTTTGCTCATTTCTATTCTTGTAGTCGTTACTGCAATGTTATTTCTGTAACAGATAGTGCATTAAACGTGAAACCATATAATTGTAATCAAGATACAAAAAATGTAAACATACATTCCGCAAAGAAACCCTATGTTACACATAATATCGCTTAATATAATATTTATTATTGTAGTTGAATTAGAAAATAAAAGTTAAAAAGGTCAAAAGTTAATACATTTTAAATTACATTCTATCTAAAATTTGATAGGAATAACAATATCTAACAATGTAATACAATACTTACCTGTTAATTTAGATAGTATTACATCTGAATGCCCAGTATAAACTGATATGGGTATGGCAACACATACTAGTACAAACTGAAAAAATTAAATTTAAAATAATTTCTTTAATAAGAATTTTTATTCAAAGCTAATAAAGTAAAAGTTTTTAAAAAAGAACAATGACTTTCCTACCTAGACCTGAAGCCGGGTCAATAAAAACTTTAAAAAGTCCGAGTCAGCACGTGTAGGCCCAACAGACGTGGCTCAAGCCAAAGCTTGGCACCTGCATTGGTCCCCATACCTCATACCATTAAGTCGTTTTATAAGCCTTTTTAAAAAGTTCAAAGATTTGAAACAAAACATTATATAAATAATGCTTAAAAACTTACAATAAAGCCAATGAAAACATTTTTCATCTGCCGTACAGCTACCATATTATAAGTAAAAATCAAAACAGAGCATTACAATGCATGACCATCAAAAATCAACGTCGCTAACAATATAAATAAAGCACTGATTAACGAATTACCAACATACGAAGTAGTACAATATAAAAAATATCACACCTTTCAAGTGTACCGCTGATTGTTTCAAAAACGGCCAGAAAAGGTCATGCGAACAGATATCATTCAATAGTCGGTTATCCTTTTCTTTTTTACAATTCTGAACCTCACCATGGCAGCCGGTTTGCTGCTGTTTCCTCCGGCTTTCCACGTTTTTTGTAAGTTTTGCTAGAATTGAGGTGCAAAGAAGAGGTTGATTCTATGTTTATTCGATCAACGAACAAGAGTTTATTTAAAAATGACCAATGTTTTTGTATTTGTAGTAAACGTACAACAAAAAATTAGCAAAATAACCGTTGAAACTTGTTGTAAAAATTCTTGAGAAAACCCCAGTTTTTTATAAAAAAATTAAAAATAAACCTGGCCTCTATTTAGGTCAGCGGCTATCAATAGCATTCAGAGCTACCTCAGTAAAATGTTTTTGCACGTCTGTAATTTATGTGATTTTATGTGTCAAACTGTAATGGCGCCTGAGCTGAAAAATGTAGAATAATGAGCTTGATTCACTCCAAAAATCGTTAAAAGCTAATTAAACATTAAAATATTATAAATTATTTCTGTTTTTAGCTCTGTAGACAGAAAAAACTACGTCTTTTCAAAAAAACATAAATTGTATTTTATAAATCCACAAATTTTTTAAAACTAAGCCAAGTTTACGTATAATTTTATCATCAAGTCGTTAGTATCTGACCTTAAAAATTAAAAATTTATTGACCTTATCTCACAAAACCTTCAAAAAAAGTTACGTAGCCGGCTCAGCATCTCTGAACTTGATTCTACAGTTATCCTGACGTTGCAACACTCTTCGAACGGCTACGTAAAAGTTTCTGCCGCTTGGATCGGCATATTGAGTAGCACGACTATCTATAACAACACAGCGCGGTAATATCTTACTTGGTGGTGGTAGGCATGGTATTGAATTTTCACATTGTCCTGGCGTTCCTTGCCGTTTCTTGATGCATCCTGCCATTTTACGTTCGTATATTCGTTCGTTTCGAAGTTTTAGGTATTTCTGAAGGTTTTTTTGATAATAATTTATGATTTTAGGTATCAAATTGTTTTTCTCATAGTAACTTAAGGTATCGTTGTAGTTTTTTACGTAGCTTGACCTACTACAAGTTCTACCATAAAGATCTACAATAAAACTTTATCAAGTATACTATCTATCATTCACATCAGAAGGCGTATCATTTTCAATATACATGACTTAACTTACTTGATAAACGTCATTGTTTTCCTTAATCTTAATGTGGAAGTTCTTCTCCATGTTGTTTACAATATCACTATCCGGGTCGAGATACGATGGTATTGCTACCTAAATCCTTATTTTTACACAGTAACACACAACCAACAGACGAAATACATTAAGTAGATTTACAATACCGTACGGTACAAAAGTCAAAAACCCTGAGTATATTATTGTACCATCACCTCCATAAAGACATATTACGATACAAAAGATCAAAGTGTCATAGTAATAGAAGTATAATATAATCACAGTATATCATAATACTCAGTGTAACCCCAGTGTAACATTAAAAAACTATCAAAAAATTAACATAATAATACACTATGATAATTAAATATTACATTACACTATAATCACATTACACCGCCGTAACCTCACTTATGATTATTAAAGCATACTGTAACTCACGTCTTTCAATACCGGATTAAAGAAGGGATAGTTGAATTTGTAAGCCCATGCATGTTCTTTGGACATCAACTTATGATCATAATCTCCAATGTCAATTTTGGCCAATGGCGAATGAAGGAAAGGACGTCCAGTACGATTGGCAACAACGGCCGGCACACCAAATTCAGCGACTTCTTGGACCAAGGCTGATAGTACCATACGTTTTACACTATATTTTTGTGGGGATTGGTCTGGAAATATTGGCTTTATTATTTTGAAAAGTAATTTTAAAGTTTTATAAAAGTTTACCAAAAAACGTTCTTGCAACACAATGCCAAATTTGCCAAAAGCAGATATTCAAATGTACAATTTTCAAAACTCAAGATCGCAAGCTAAGTTTTTTATGCGGAGTAATACAAAAATTAAGCAGATTTTCAGAAGCAATTTAAATACTTTCCTTCTAAATTTAAAGGTAAACCTACGTTGATAAGCAGCAGTAGTAGCAATCCGAAACTCAAACGAAGCGGCAGTCGGATTCTGTTGTGACAAACTCCATAATTCTTCGTACAAATGATTCGAGTATCTCGGCACTATAACTTCATCATAATCAGCAAATATTATGAATTCAGACGCTTGCCGATAAAAGAATAAACATTCACTAGCACTTAACAGCCACGATGCCTTTTCAACTTCTGAGTTCGTGTCGAAACCGAGGTCTTTCTGAAAATAATTTAACCTATATCTTCTACAGTAAATAGTAACTCACAATTTTAGGTAACAAAACACTCTTATTCAGCCTCAAACCCTTCAATCGTCTTTGGAAATAAAGCAGGATTTCGTAAAAGTCTTCTACTACACTATGAACTGGTACCACTAGAGCACTAGCACCATAAGCAATGTACAATTCAAAGGCAGCTAAGGCATTTTGCCACTTTTCAAACATAAACATGTGATTGAAACACACAGTAACCGGCAATTTTTCTATCACAAGTTCTCGAATATACAGTTGGGTCGTCGGCATAGTTGATGGTGCATACTTGTACTTGAGGTTAAAGTACATTGGAGCTGTCGCAAACTGACAATCAATGTAATACATGCGCCATTTACAATTGTCGTTGTGACTTATTGACTGCCATTTGGCCGGAACATCTCCTTTCGGCAAGGAACATACCAATTGATCATCCTCAATATCCTTGGTGCCTACTGCTATTACACGATACGTTTTTAAATCATTAGGCCTGAAAATAGTTCCACCAACACATTAAGTATATTAAAAAGTACATTTTCAATCAAAAAATGTAAAAATAACAGCAAAATATTGACGTACTTCATTTGAGTATCAAGTTCAAGTGGCACAACCGTCGAAAGATAAAGATGATAATTTTTGTAGGACTTCGACCTCAAATTGTACAAAGCGTATAAAGCCACACATCCTATCAATAATTTAAGCGCTCTACGACTTCCCAATAGCGCCTGAAGTCTTCGAAATTTGGGTGGAATCATGGCGACAAGAATACAAAAACAAGCCGACATTACCCACAAAACTTTATCTGATCCCAAGATTCCATCTACTGCCTGCGCGATAAACAACAATTAAAAGCATGCCAAATTTAAATTTAAACACCTTTTTCACGTAAAAATTTCACATCAATTTGCCTTTGATAAATATGCCAGTATGAAAGACGCCAACCGTTCTTTGCGTATAACTTGTCACCTGCACCTGCAGTTACACAGTTATAAAGCATATTTTAGCCAGTAATTCGTTTTATCACTACCACAAAATTCTAAAAAATTCTTAAATTTAAATTTTATTTTCCCGCTATTTTAACTTTTCTTGAAACAAAATGCGAAAAATTATAAAAACCTTCCGCAGTTCGCGCCCGAAACAAAAATAGTTTTTTAGAAAATTCCTAAAAAATATTGTTAAAATTCCTGTTTTTATAACTTTTTAACAATAGTTGAACATTGGCAAAGATGACTCCAGGTGATATATCTTCTAACAAGTGTATTGGACTCGAGTGTGGCAAAGCGGCTAAGCTGAAGTGTCCAACTTGTCTGAAAATGAAGCTTCCGGACTCTTATTTCTGCAGTCAAGTAAGTTTTCTTATTGTTTTTCTTGATATTTAGGTAGAATACTACAAGGTTAACACGATGTGTTGAGTTATTATTGATTGTAGATGCCGATCAACTGCTTTTTATGATTTTTTCGCTGAGGTGTGTTGATATTGATGTAGTTTTGCAAACCTAATCTATTTTAACGCTTTTCGGACTTTTTCTTTTGAAAATACAAAGCAGAAAATGTCTAAAATGATATATAACAAGTTATTTAAGGATTGTTTTAAAAACAATTGGGAGATCCACAAGTTTTACCACAAAGCTCAGGATAAAGCTGCCTATAATCCTTTCCCTGGATTTAGTTACACTGGACCTTTGCGGCCTTATCCTCAAACTCCGAAGAGAGCTGTTCCAGAGAGTATACCTTATCCCGATTATGCTTCTCATCCAGAAGGAGTTTCTTTGGAAGAACGAAACTCGAAAATGGCTGGACATATTGTTGTAGGTTTTTTTCCGGTTTTTTATTGTTTTAGATTGACTTTTGGCTTCTTCACGTTGTTAAAGGCAAATTTTATAATCGTGCACTTTGGTTATATAGTGTTTGTTTTTGACACTGTTTTACAACATTTGACGGCTTTTGATTAAAAAACTATCATTTAAGGTTAACAACGAAGAAGAGATTGAAGGAGTCCGTTTGGCCGCGAAACTCGGTCGAGAAGTACTAGACGCCGCTGCAGCGGCTGTTGATGTTGGAGTGACGACTGATGAACTTGATAAGATTGTGCATGAAGCTTGTTTGGAAAGAGAATGTTACCCATCACCACTTGGGTACTACAAGTTCCCAAAAAGTTGCTGTACCTCTGTCAATGAAGTGATTTGCCACGGAATTCCTGATCTCAGGCCTTTGGAAAATGGAGATTTGTGCAATAGTAAGATATTTATGAAATTTTATGATAAATTATTGATAACATTAATTTAGCACACATCTTCTAATATTATTTTACTTTTATTGAAATATTGAACACTTTTATTTTATCTGATTTCAGTTGATGTAACTGTGTATCATCGTGGGTTCCACGGAGATTTGAACGAAACCATATTGGTTGGAGACAAGGTATCAAAAGAGGACAGAGACTTGGTCAGAGTCACATACGAATGTCTTCAACAAGCTATTGCTACCGTTCGGCCAGGCGTCAAATACCGTGACTTGGGCAATGTGATCTCAAAACACGCGTCAGCTAATGGATTTTCTGTTGTGAGAAGGTTCACTGGTCATGGTATTCATCGGCTGTTTCATACTGCTCCCAACGTTCCTCATTATGCTAGTAAGTGTCTTATTTTGGGATTTACTTTTTTTAATTGTAACTTTTTATTATTTACTTTGATTTTTTTCTTGTTTAGTTTAATTTGTGTAGTAAAATACGAAGAGTTTTGTATTTTAGTTGTATAATGTTATTGTTTAGAAAACAAGGCTATTGGTATCATGAAACCTGGCCATATCTTCACGATTGAGCCTATGATCAACATTGGATCATGGCACGATGAAATGTGGCCTGATGACTGGACTGCGGTTACTGTAAGTTTTTTTTATCTGAAAATTGTTTTGATGATTAATTTTTTTAAATTTAAAATTTTTAAAAAAGATTTAACTTTCGCAGAGGCAAAAGCACTGATTCCTGTAATTTTCAGCGCGACGGTAAGAAATCAGCTCAATTCGAACAAACAATGGTGGTCACTGAAGATGGAGTCGATGTATTGACTGAGAGACCTTCAAAACGCCCATGGTTTATGGATCAAATCGACGCAAAATATAGTAAATAGCTCTTGTTAAATCTTAAAAGAAATCCGGTAATATTGTTTTCATAGTTGTTAAATTAAAATGGTTTACACAGTATTTTGCTTTGAAGTATAGCTTTTACTATGCATTATACCTTTACAATAGTTGACTATTTTTTAAACGATTTTAATTTTTATTAGTTTCAAAGTATAGTTTATTGTTGTACGGTGATGATAAGGTAAAATAAGTAGGTTTATATAATGTTAGCCATAATAATAGGTGTAAAAATGCTCCAACAGGTTTATGCACCTTTTGGTGGCCCATTCTCCTCAAAAACCAATCCAAGTTCATCAGCATAGCTTACGGCTTCATTGGAATAGATATCGGCCAGATTTGCCCATTCTTTTCGCATTTCCGCCGTGATCTCGGTCTTGGTAGCCATCCAATCAGTGAGAACGTCGAAGAACGATCGGAACAATCTTGGGGACACTTTTCTGGAAATGTGACGTAGGACTTGTTCACGAGCATAAGCTTTCAAAGTGTCTGGTTGATCGGCAATATTGGCCATGAGGTGGACGGCCAAGGAGAGTTTGTAGCCTAGTTTTTGGAAACGGTCACTGGTGATGGCTGAATCTCCAGTAAATCCTTCGGCAAGGTGGTAGAAGGGCATCATGGCTGGGAGATGATTGAAGGAACTGTAATTTAGTGGTATAAAGCATCTTGATATTACTTTTTCGTCTTAAATTTACATTTGTTAGGCTGTTTAAATAATTTTGCGCCCCTTCTTAAAACAAATATTTGGGGTTAGGGCGAACAAAATTATTTGGAGAGCATAATATTAAGCTCTAATTCAGAACAGCTTTTGTAAACAACATAAGGTATAAGTCAAAACTTACTATTTATAAATCTCCACACCCTGCTTCTCTCCCTCTCTGGTCAAAGGCATGAATTCTAAAGATTTGAGCAAAATCTCACGGTTAGCCATGTTCTCCTTCTCTGGTTGTCCTTTTACTTTGCACTACTTACAAAACAAACCGATGGTTAAATAGTGTTAGCATTGTCACGCGTCGCTTCTTGACTCGAGAGTCATGCCGGAACGAATTATTACAACGCTACAAGTGCAGTCAGAAAATGTTAACGGTTGCAACAAGATGTTTGGAGGAATCGAGCAGTGTCAGGGGTGAAGTCTAACTTGCTTACACTAACCTCTGATCTGAGGTAAAGATTACATATGGCAGTTTTCTATTTTGTAGTCAAAAGTTTAATAGTGAGGAAACGGTTTGAGAGGAAGTTGCTAATTTGTAGATTGGAACGTGAGATATATTGTTTTAGTTGTAATTTTGAAAAGTATTTATTGATAAAACTAAAAAACACAGTAAAATGTTGTATTTTATTTAATTTGGTATCTTATTTTGTTTCTGTTTAATCGTTCCTTAAAGCTTAACACTAAAATGTCAATATAATACAGTGAAAACTCGCTGATAGGACTTTGCTTACAAGAACACCCCCGTTATATTAGGTGATTGCAAAAGTTTCTGGCCGATTTTTGTTTTTACCAAAGTTTAATATTTTAAAAAAACAACATTAACTAATTAACAAATATATGCGTCATTATTATCAACAACCTGTTTCCATCCCTTCAGCAGCATTTGGATTCAACTTCTGTAGAAACCTGGCGTTTGAGAATTGAAAAAGTTAGCCCACCACCTCTTGAGGTACTCTCGATTGTCAAAGCGTGTTGCGTTAAGGTGATTTTGAAGAGAGTGGAACATATGATAATCTGTTAGTGCAACCTCAGGTGAGTACTGTGCATATGACATCACAGTCCAGCCGAGGCTTTTGAGCTTGTGTTGGGTCAACTTTGTCACAAGGGCGCAAGCAGTATCATGTATGAAGAAGACCCAATTCTGTTTACCATGCAATGCTGCCGCAATAGATTTACTTTGTCTACAGTAGACATCCACAGGGATCGTAGTTCCATGTGCTACCATTTCCCAGTACACAATACCCGTTGAGTTCCAGCTAAAGCTGATCATCTTATCCAGTGGGTGAAGATCAGGTTTGAGGTTGATGCACCCTGTCCTCCACGTTCAAGCCATTGTTTCTTACCGGTGTGATTAACATACAGTGCCCACTCCTCATCCCCAGTAACCAAATTGTCAAGCCATTCAAAGTTCCTTGGGAGCATCAACAAACAAGTGCAAACTCCTACTCGACGTTCAGCTGGTCTCTGTTCAAATCATATGGAACTTCCTGACCATATTTCCGTAATCTCCCAAGGGCGTGAAGTCTAATTAATGTGGTAGAAGGGTCACACTGAAGCTCTACAATCAAATAAGTACAGGTTCGTCGGAGGTCTTCTTCGATCAGCTTCAGAAGGTGGGGTTTCTTCAACACTGATGGTCTACCAGATCGAACTTTTCGGACATGTCAAAGTCACCGTTTTTGAACTTGTGGAACCAAACTTTTGTGGTGTCGTAAGAGACAACTAAAGGCCCTACAGCACTGCATATTTTCTACGTCGCTCTTGTTGCGTTGCCGTGATTGCGGAATTTGAGAAACAACACTGGCCGAACATGATTGTGTTTCTCCTTGATTTCTTGAACTACCGTAAACAACAGAAAGCTTGAACATGCAATAGTTTTTAGTCCTTGGACACCTCTTTTTACAGGTTGCCAACAGAAAGTTCTAGAACAGTGCAAAATTTTTTAAAAAATTTTTGAAAAATCGGCCAGAAACTTTTGCAATCACCTAATAGCAGATTTTTTTGAATCCTTTAGCAAAAAATTTTGTTTTGATTCCGAAATAAAAAAAAACTCTGGATATAACGTAACCCCGTTAGCAGACGGTCTTGAATTCCTTAGCAATTTGTTATATCGGAAGTTCACTATACGTTGAAGCTATTGAAAAGTCATTTTGGTAACATATTTTGCTTTATAAGTATCTTTTACATAAAAAAAAGTTCGGTATATAATAGAATTCGTGTATCACAAAGTACAGGATTTTAAAATTGTCCTTGGTAAAAAAGTTTGGTAGACAGTAGTTGTTATAGAAGAGTTTGTTATACAGGAGTCCCACCGCATTCTATCGCTTTGTCTATAAATTGTAATGTTTTCAATATCGTTTCCATTGTTATTACTAAACTTGCTCCTTGATTTTTTAGCTCTAGAGCTTAACCATCGTCAGCAAGCCTTACAACTTTGTCACTTCAACTGAACTTACCTCTTCATACCATTTTTGATACATATTATACATAAATTTGCACTTTAATGATTGACTAACTTTATTGTGAATGTAATAAATAAATAGTAAGGCATGATATTTCAAATTTGACAAAAGTACAAATACGAGATCAACAATTCAATCGATGAAAGACTAAATACAATAAATAAATAACTTAAAATGTATTATTCTAAACGTAACATGTGTTCGATATATTATAGTGCACACTTTTGGTATTCTAAAAGTTTAAATTTTTAAAAAGTTAAAGATTTGTGGACTTCTAGTGAGATCAATAACATTATTTTAGGTAAATACGAGATCAAAAATTTAAAAATTTTGATATTAAGCTTATATTAGGCCTTTCAAATAATTCTGGGTTCCTAACCTTGAAATTTGATTTGAGAGGGAGCACAGAATTATTTGAAAAACCTAATAGCTTAGACAAAGATAAGAACTATGTAGTATAAGTAAAAATAAAAAATGACAACGATTAGAAGAGCAAAGAACACTATATAATAATTGTTTTGATTGGCGAATTATGTCAATAGCATACTGTAAACAAAATCAAAAAAAGTTTTAAATCCCAAATTTTTTTGCACTTTTAAACGCAGTTTTAAACTTTAAACTCTTTTAAAACGCAATTAAACTAAAAATCTAAAAATAATCAAAAATGTCGTGACATTTCTAAAAATACTCTCCCAGGTCATCAGATTTTCATAAACATTGACAAACAATAACTAATGTAAATGACGGTAACAACTCCATTTCAAACCTCCGGCGGGGATTTTCCGTCTGACGTGGTTATCTTGACACTTGCGCTTGCATGGCCCTAAAATGACAAAATTAGTATATAAGAATGGGAATTGAATTTAGATTGTGGGTAACTGGGCTTTTGGGTTGAACTGGTTTTAAAAAAAATTAAATTTTTTGTTTTCTATTTTGACAATAGACAAAATTTCTAAAATCTTTAAAAGTTAAAAAATTCTTTTTTATAAAGAATAGCCTACTCCAAAAACAGGTACACAAGCCAATGATATTCGCTGTGTTGTTTGAGTGAACGTTTCACAATTGTCATCGAACCGTAACACAGGCAAATCATACAACATGGGTTCACATATAACTTCGGGGTAGCGATTTAGAATCATCATCTTTGTTGGGCGTTGACAAACACATTGCACTTCTGGGATTGTTTGGGGTAGACGCTAAAGATAAAAATTTATTAAACTACTACAACTTAAAAAAATTTTTTAGTGCCAAAAAACTTTGTGTTAAAGTAGGCTAACGTTGAGACCTGATAAGGCAACTTTAGCTTACGAGTAGATTGAAAGAAGGCAAGAGTAAGAGAAGAGTAAGAGTAATAAGGCTAGGCTACTATTATTGTAGGCATAGAGCGCGGTTAAGGCTAAAACTAGGGCTTAAACGAAGACTAAAGACGAAGGTTAAGAGTAGGATAAAATTCATCTTCTTCTACAAATCTTCTGGCCTGTAATCTCTGATTTTGCTCATAAAACAAAAAAAAATCTGCAAGTTATTTGTGTGGTATAATATTATACGTAAGATGGGTAATTGCACGTAGCCAATATATCGTTTTCTTTTGAAACTACGCATAAAGCGAATCTATAATGTTTTAACTAATTATTCTAATTGCATCATAAACAAAAAGTATTTTTGAAAACAAGAATAAGGAAGTACTTTGGAAAGGTTATTGTCTAAGTTGTTGTTGTAACGTAAGTAATTTAAGACAAAAACATTCTTTAGATAAGAAAAACTTATAAATAGTGTTTTAGGTAAGACAAACTAATTAATACCCCACCTTGTTGTCAAAGTTTTCCACGTACTGAAAGCCACAAACTGCACGGTCTCTGATAGGCATGTCTGGACTGATATCCTCTGCCTTTTCTTCCTTACACATATCTTCGATGTTGTTGTTCTCTGTTCGCATGATACTGATATGAGGAGTTTTCATCAAATAACTGTTGGCTTCGTTGCCTGTGATCATTTTCGAAATGGCTTCGTGAAGTTCTGGACTCAGTTTGGCTTTGTTGGAACAGTCTGAATCTAGTCGACGTACTCGGGCGAATCTACAATGAATTTTGCTGTAAATACGGTTGTTTTGCTATACTCTTTAGTACTAGCTTCTACAGTAATTAGCATCTATAATGCTGGTAGGGAATAAAAAATATCTTTTTATATATAATTATTTTATAACTTTCATTTTTAAATTTATAAAAAAAGAAGACAGAGAGAACAAAGTAATAGGTAGTCAACATACTTTGGTCGTTGTAGAAATAATAGATCTGGGTCAAATGGTCTTCTGTTGATTGTCCTGTATGCTGTTGTGAATTTGTTGAAACAAAGAAAAATCTAAAAAAAGTCAAGATAAATAAACAGATTTTTTTAATAAAAAATAATTTTTATTTTACATTTTCGTAAGGTACTGAAGCTTAATGAAAGAGCAGCAGGTCAAAAAGTCAACAAAAATGCCAATGACTCTTTTCTCAAGATTGTAACAAAGAGGACCATGTTCATCAAACTAAAGACTTTTTTTGGCTACCAGTTAACGTTTGGAGACCAAACTTACCAGAAATAAATAAAGTGACATTGTCATGCAACCCCTGCTCAAGCCTTCCATTTTGAAATCTGAAAATATGAATTATATAGTTAATATTTTAGATAAAATCAACAAGAGATATATTGAGGCACGGAGTAATATTTGGTATAATTGATCTTCTAATACGAAAAAAACGGGTAGTGTGACACCCTGGTTATAATGGCGCTTTGGTCCAGCCCCTTGAGTGTCAAAGTAATAAATAGGTTTTACAGTATTGTTTAGATTTACAAAGCAACTAAAATAATACTAAAAGTTTAAAGGTAAACCTAATAACTAACTTTTTAAAACCTCCCAACTACCACACAAGACAAGTACAAAAACTGTACCCAAAATCCGTCAGCCGCCGCCAGCTGTCTCAACTTTCAGTGATACTACGGAAAGTTACTACGTTTATAAAGCAAAACATAAGCTTAAAAATTAACAGCTGCCGTTTTACGATATATTAATATTTTTGCGGTACAAATTTTAAAAGATTTACAAATTTGGGTAAAAGGGCGGAATAATGTTTTAGCGTCTCCGCCTATGCAAAATTACTTACATATTTACGAAACTCTTAATTGTTTATTTCAGCGGCAATAAATGTAGGCGGTGTTTTTTACTGTAATTTGGTACTGTAATTGTACGATACTTTAAGTATTAAAAAAAACAAAAATATTAAAATTAAAATTTTTGATTTGGGGTTCAGTTGTAATAAGGTCAAGATTTATAATACAATAACTTATAGGACAAAGCTACAAACAACAATCAGGAAGAGTATATTTGAAGCTACGGCAGATTTAAAATAAGGCAACAAAAAAGTTGGCTGAAAGCTATATTAGAGATAGAGTATGGCTCGGATAAAGGAAGGGTATGAGTAGGGCTGTGTCTAGAGCTATAGCTAAAGCTAGAGCTATGGCTAGGCCTAAAGCAAAGACTAGCTGGGTCTAGACCTAAACCTGAGGCCAAGACTAGGGGGGGGAGACCATGATTAAAGTAAAGTAAGGCTAGATACCAGAGCATATCAACAATAAGACTATTTTAAGGCTACAACAAGAACAAAAGTAAAGCTTAGGTAAAAACGTACCAAAAAATTTTTATTCCGAATACAGTGGTCTCTCTATATAGCCAACCGTATGTATAAGCAACCCTCCTTATAGTAAACAAGAACTTTTATCCCACCAAACCAATTTGTGCTAAAACTTACTTTGTAAAGACAACGCCCTCTATAGTTAACACAAGATGTTGGTGTTTTTCAAGTTGATTGTATAGAAAGGATACTGTATGACTAAAGTGTGACTGCCAATAATGTTAGCAAAAGTGCACTTTCGACTCAAAGCAACCCTTTTTATACCCAAAAAACCATCGGTTAACAAAACACGTAGCTGACATTCACTTGGCAACAAAATCAATGTAAAAACTGGTGGTTGTACGAATGAACAAGTTTTTATATACAGTAACTTGTTCTTTTATCCAGTTTAACATTCTGTCATTCCGAAACACTTGAACTATTCGAAAAAACATTTGAACTACGTAATTATCTGCTTTTTAAGTTGGGCTTTACATTAAATTGTCACGAACCAAACTTGCAGTAATTTTTATATATAAAAAGTGTTAAAAAAGTGAAAATTTGAAAGAAGATGGCATCATTCAACTCAAAACAAGCAAGGCTTTTAAAAAAGTTTATAATAACTTAACTTATGACTTTGAGGTAAAATTTTAAAAAAACCTAAGTTGAATCTAACTTTTAAAGTTTACATTTAACTTAATTTTCAAAAAAGTCTAAAAATTACTTTTATTTCCGTAAAACTCTCTTTCCCAACTAAGATTTGTGACTACTGTGACATTAATATATCTACATTTTACATGAAAACACGTTACATCACTTATAGGGCCGGGCGCTGTAAGGGACCCCTCCAGAAAAAAAGTTTTCGAAAAAAAGTTGAACGTGGTCCTCCTGTGGATTTTTTCGAACTCGCCCCCAGACCCCTAATCACTAATGTATAGCCAAAAGATATCTTTTTTAAATTTTGACAGCTGATTTTTCATGATTACCAAATTTTATAATGCATTTTTTTTAAGTTATCTGATTTAAAAAAAAAGATTAATAAATTTTAAATGGCTGAATATTACAAACGTACAGTAAGACCATATACAGCGGTATTTTTGTATAACAATCCCCTCTATAACAAATAGCATAACAAGCAACTAATGAATTCCTAGCTAACGCTACACAGTGAATTTAAAACTTCTGTAAGACAAAGCTTCTTTATAACATACTGTTTTAAAATTCTTAAAAGTTGTTATAAAGAAGTTTTACTATATGATTCAAAAAATTGACATAAATGACATAAAAAGTAAGTAAACAGGAAACTCATAATTTGTTTACTAAAAGTCAGAAACATACTTTACAATAGTTTTGTGTACTTTTATACCTCTACATCACTTTTTATACAATACCATAGGGGTAGTTTTATAGCATAATTAGTGGTATAAATTATAAGTACAATAAAATAAATAATGACGTTATAAAGCTATAACTGTAAATTTTAATGGACGTATAAATAAGGAAGTAGGTAAAAAAATGAAGTAGGTATATATAATGAATCCCTGAATAACTAACTCTACCATAACGAAATCCTTGTACAGTGGAACTCCTGTATAACGAATAGCTCGGGGACCGGAAATTTGTTCGTTATAAAGGAGTTTCGTTATACAGGAGTTTTAAATGCACTATGTACTGTTAGACGGGGATTCAAAAGGTGTTCGTCATACAGGATTTTCGTTATAGAGGAGTTCCACTGTATTAGGTTGTTCAACATATTCAGTGCCTTCTCTCAAAGCAAATCTGCGGATTTTGAGGGCACAAAATTATATGTTAATGACAATATCAACATTTTTAGACTTATTTTCTGACGCCCGTAAAAAATAATTTAAAGTTCATTTCACAAAATTGTAATAAAGTTACTAAAGTAAACTAAAAAAAACTTATGAAATGACTAAATTAGATTTTAGAAAAACCATGAAGTTACTTTTATGTAGACCGTTTGTATCACAACACGTAACAAGCCAAAAATTAATTACTAAAGTACTAAACATCATAGCTAAATTAAATTTTTTTAACTTTCAAAACGCACGTACTAAAAAATTAAAAAATTAAAAAATGGGTTCATAGCTTAAAAAAAATTTTTAAATTTTAATTTATATACTACTATACATATAAGCCTGTTCACCTTATCTTTGAGCACCTTAATTTGCGTATTTTTTCAAATTAAGGTTTAAAAGACCAAAAAAATGACAAAAAGTTCATTTTTATTAAAATTAAAAAAGTAATGGGTTCCAAGGGTTTACTAGAAATTGTGCCAAAAACGGCCTTCTCATTACCAACATAAACAATACCCTTAAATAGCAAACAAAGGAACGGGGGTGTTGTCGAAATAATTTAAATGATTGATACTGGCTACGTACACTAGCATCATGTATGTTTCAAGAATCAGTTTATACTAAGATATAATAGTTTTGATATCACGCCTTGAAAACATATTGTACTGAAAATGGTAATACGGACCTATGTCATCTACTTATAGTTCTATCAAAAATAAGGTTGTTTACCGTCTTGACACTAGTAAAAATAGGTTGAGCAAAAGATAGTCAGCTATGTTGTTGTATGTTATAACATTAGTACTTTTAAAGTTTAAATTTTGTAGAAATTCTAAAAAAAGTTGTTTTTAGCACTTGAATTTTAGAAAAGTTTAATAGGTACGTCAAAAAAGAAGCTACAAAATACCTTAAAAATACTTGAAAACTAGTACTTGAGTCGACAGTGTTATTTATGCACATAAACATACACCAGTCAAAATAAAAACTCATACAAAATACTGTGTTCTTCACCCTTTAAAACCTTAAAGTAAAATTTTTTCAGTGGTTTTTCTAACTTAAAAAAATTTAAAAAATTGTTGTAAATTAGTTCCGTATGTCTACAACAACCTTTTGCCAAAAGAATTCTTTTGGTTTTTTGAGTGTGTTAACTATCTTTCAAAAGTGACGCAGATTTCACAGAACACAACTTTGTTCAGTTTTTTGAATAAAACTCGTTACTTTTTATATTTTAGGTAGTCGACAACAAATAATTGCAAGAATTATTGCAAATAACGTTTTGTCTGAACAAAAAGGCCAAAAACTTTAATATTTCAAAACGGCAATGTCTTCGTACTTCGATTACACAGCACTCGTTGTAAGAAATAAATTGCAGTGGTAGTAGTGTATGTTACACAAAGACGACTAGTACTGTAATTTTTTTCCTAAACTGTAAATTTCTTATGAATACGACACTTTAAAGACTAAAAAAAGACAAAAATATACAGTGGAACTCCTGTATAACAAACTCCTCTATAACGAAACTCCCGTATAACGAACAACTTTTGAATACCACTCTACCACTACACAGTGCATTTAAAACTCCTGTATAACGAAACTCCTTTATAACGAACAAATTTCAAGTCGCCGAGAGATTCGTTATACAGGAGTTCCCCTTTACTATAAATTTAACGTCAAAAAAAATTTTTGAAGCATAAAGAAACTAAACATCGTTTCCCAAATGTAACAGCAACTAATAATCATTAGACTTGTGTTATTTTTACTATACTGTAACGTTTTAATTACAATTATGCACGTTTTTGTGCAGCCCTTTTTTATTAAGGGGTGGTGTAGGTGGAGGAAGTTTCTAATTTACGTTACTAATGGTTTCAGCAGTCTGGAATTAAAAAAAGAACAAAAAAAGGTAAGTAGAACATGTTTGTTCTTAGAAAAACGTAGATGTATAACAAGTAATTAGTTTACTTTTTCGTAACACTACGGTAATACTACACAACAAATTTTATATACAATAGAAGTTCTGTATAACAAACGCTTTTATAACACGAATTTAGTATAATAAAAAATTTAAACTTCAGCCTAGCGCTACGCAATGTACTTGACATCTTTGTATACCAAAATTACCAAAACTCTCATATCTCTTACATCGAACAAATTAAAAATCCTTAAACAATATTTTATACAGGAGTTCCACTGTATTCTTATACCTTTTTCACAATATGATCGACTAAAAGAAACGTAAAGGCCGAACGAAAGCCCAGATTATAAGAAAGCAACAACCTGTAGTACCACCGTCAAAACCCAAAGAACAAAAAACAAATTATTGTCAACGCACTTATATTCTATAAACAGTCTATATTTGTACATTTAAAACAGTATATACATCACTACACGAAATTCAATTTCAGAAAAACTTTTTCTTTATTTACTTCGTGCCTACATTTCGAAAGTTAAAAATGCTCATAAGTGTAACGAACTTACAAGTAAATTTTTGATACATTAAAGCAAAAAATGGCTTTAGTAGACCGTCACTACACTTCTCTTATCTTCTCCCCCCTGTAAAATATTTGTAGAATATTTTTTTAATCTTAACCTACTTTATCTTACCTGATTTTTTCCTACTTTATTCTGCTTTACCTTACTCTACCCTATCTTACCCTACTTTACACTTGAGCTGCAAGTATTTTTAAATCTACTATTAATACCTTTGTGTAGATAAAACATGAACCTTTATATACATACTAACTATAAAGAACGTCAGTTCAAATGTTTCTGCTGAAAAAGCGCCAGTTTTCCAGATATACATAGTTAGCAGCAAGAAACATGTTAGTGAATGTTATGCTCTCGAATGATGTTATTTCTGAGCTTCAATGTAATCGTAATGAAGAGTTTGTTTTTTCAAAATATTCCGGGTCTGTAAAACACCGTATGCCTTTGGTCCTTCTGGGAAGGTCCACAACAAGTATATTAAAAATAAATTTTTATTTTTTGGAAATGTCTAAAATTTGAAATTATTTATAGTTTGGGATAAACATACTGTAGAATAAAGGAATGGTTGATCAGTTATAAAATCTAAAATATGTATGAACTATAAGATTAATACCGTGAAACTGCTCAGAATGGCACTTTATAGTAAGAAATCTTCCTTATAATGATAATTTTTTGGCCGCCTTTCGTAATAGAATTCCAATCAAAAATTACATAGGTAGTTGGCACCCTGGTTATAATGGCACTATAGGCCGATCTATTTGTTTTACAGAGGTCGTACTGCATTTATAAAAGTCAAGTTCATAAAAACTCAAAAAACAAATTTTGCGTAAGACAATTTATATTGCAGTATCTTCATTATCAACAAACAAAACGTGACTTTAATATGCTATTTTGCATAAATAGTAAGTCTCTAGAGTATTTATAATTTACATTACTATCAGTGTTTGCAAAAGCTTGCTATTTACTACCTCAATGCATCAAAAGACCAAACAATCAAAAATGACGTTTAAACGTATCGAAAAAGACCAAATAATGGAAATATATACTTATTAAAATGCAACACATATTCATAAAAGTACCTAAAATTGAGAGATTTAAATATAAACATTAAATTACCAAACTAAAAAAGTCAATTACAACCAAAAAAGCACAATTCAAACTAGAGTTGAAAGAATGTTGCCACTCTTTATCGTATTTTTAGCCAGAATCTGCGTAAGGAAATTGATGACTCTGTCTGTGATGAATACATAGACAAGATATACGTGTAATAATTTGCCGAGAAACGTGCTTACAATGTGTTTCTTGGAATTCAAGGTTTATAAAAAATGAGTCGAAAGATTTGTTTTTGAAATAGACTTGTAAAAAAAACAGGACAGACCCAATTTTTCGGCCCGGTCCATGGTAGGGCAAAGGCAAAATAAAGTCAGGACATGAAGGGAGAAGGCAGCGAGAAAGCAGGGCAAAGGCATGGCAAAAACAGGGCAAAAGAAGGGCAAAAGCAGGAAAAAGGTAATGCAAAGGTATGGCAGACATAGCAAAGAAGCCAGGGCAAAAACAGGGCAAAGACAGGGTTAAAGCAGGGAAAATTCAAGACAAGAACAAGGTTTGGGTCTTGGTTTAAACCTTTCTACTTTTTTAAATAAAAAATACAAATGCATAGTTAAAACAAGATTTGTACATTGATTAATGTATGCTAATCTTGATATCGACCTCCGATCGAGATTTTCACAAGCGTTTTACTTCAGTTTAAAGAGGAAAGATGGCTGGTTTGCGTGATGGTTCACAAGCAGCACGTTTCCTATCTAAAAATAAACTTATTTTGTAAAATACGCTTTTTTGTATATTGAATATCAAAGATGAATTTTTTTAGAATTAAAATGTTTGCAATATTTTACACTTTTTACTATATTTACAATATTTAAAATTAATTTTGTTTCAAACTTTTGTCAAAAAATATGTTTTAGATGTTAAGAACGACCAAGATTTCAGTTTTTATTTTATCATGTATTATATCACGATGTTACTCTTGGCAAGAGTACGAAGAATCAATGGTACCACCTCCGGATGACCAAAAGTCTTTTCACTTTAACTTTGACGTTGTCCCAAAACTGTCAATGAGTATTGAACGTGATTACAAGAAATTGTTTGTTGTTGATTATGATCCTGATAATGTAAATTTTTAAAGATTATTATATTTCAAAGAAATTTTGTGAGATGTATCGTATTATATTATTATAAAGTTTATCATAAAGTAAAAACGTAGAAGAATCGGATTGTAAGCCAGATTATGCAGAGCTTGGCAAAGGCAGAGCAAAGACAAGACTGCGCAGTGAAATTTACTTTTTCGTTAAAATTATAACTTTTTAGCTACAATGGGAAGAACGAGACAACAACCAACTAGCTCCTTGTTTGGCCAAGTTCAACTTGTCTATTGGTCTCAATCCTCGTAATCAAAGCTTTTTTCGCAAAGTTGACGAATTTGACACGTTAGAACAGTTTAATGGCCAACACGTGCGTTTGCATGCTGTAAATGGAAAAATGTAAGTTTATTTATATCTTTTTTACGTGTTTAGAATGCTCGTACTTTAATATAGAACACGAAACATGCTTAACTAGTGTTCAGGTGTTCAATTATATGTCTAGTAGCTTAAAATTGACAGTAATATAATATTACAAAAAAAATAATATAAAACTCAAAAATATTAAAGTGTCCGTACAAGATAGAACATTATTTTTAGCCCAAGTCAATTAATTTTGACAAATTATGACTCTGAATTGACTATAAGATTGCAAAATGGTATATTACTAGATAGTTTGACCATGAGAATTTATGGCTTAGATACTGCATGGTTCAACGATGGCGTACCTTACTTACAACAATGTCCTGTTGCTTCAAAGAGTGTGTTCACATATAAGTACAAAGTCAATCGACAAGGAACTCATATTTATAGGTGAGTTAGGCTACATAACTTCTATTAGAGTTCTACTGTCGCTCTTTTTTTTCTTTGCTAAAGAAGGTTATATAACATTGGAATAAGTTTTTTTAATCAATTTAACAGTACAATTTTAAACTTTAAAACTAAAGTTTACCCACAACAATATAAATTTTGAAACCCAAGTTTTCAGATCAACCCAGCCCCATTTCCGCCCAGACGGCTTTGCTGGTATAATGGTCTCAAAGAAGCCAAATGAAACCCTAGCTACAGTTGATGGCCGCAAAGTGCCTATAGCAGCAGAATATGAACTGACGATTCAAGACTGGCCATTTGTAGAAGCTAATCAACAACGACAACATGGCTTAAGTCATGGTCTTTCTAAATGGGGCCATGGTTTAGATAGAGATGATGGACAATGTACTCAGGGGTCGTATAGTGGTGGTGAAGTTGACAACAAAAGTGTGGCACCATATACTATTATGGTGAATGGCAAAGGATGGTATAATCAAGAAGATGTTGTTACACGGCCTTCAAGATTACCGTTGACTAGATATAGGATAACTAAAGGTAAGCTTTCAGCATTTTACTGTTTGTATGACAGCATTATGTGATATGTAAATGATGAGCTACTCTTATGTTACTACATAAACTAAATATATTTAAAAAAAATAAAAGATGATAAACTCAACAGCAGTAAACCATACTTTACAGACAGCTATCATCTCTTCAGAGTGGCTCACCTTGGTTTCGAGCGAGCTCTACGAATCTCAGTGGAAGATCATGACATTACTTTATGTGTAGTGGACGGCGCTCATATTAAACCTGTACAAGCACAATCATTAATTGTATTACCTGGCAAGGTTTTCAACTTTTACATTCACAGTAAAAGCAATCCCAACAAAAAAGTCTACAGGATGATTGTAGAAACACTACATGAATATGAAACATACGATAATATACAACAACCTGTATATGGACTGGCTGATCTTGTTTATGATGAAGTTGAAGACAATGGACAAAATTTGGATGAAGGTGGTTTTTGACAAAACTTATAGTTGTGCTCCGCAATCATCTCTGCCTTACGCTACCATGAATTACCGTACCCTACCCAACTCTATATACCCTAGCTTACCTTACTCTAACTTATTTTACTTTTCAGTTGATTTTGAGCACAAAATCTGTAACGAAAACGAATGTATCGTGCTCAACTGTCCCACAACGTCCATCCATCCCAATCCGAACATACGATGTGTTACCGCCGACCAATTCCAAGACCCTGACGCGAATGATGACACTGATATGTTGCAATCCAAAGTGTATTCTTCATCCGACTACGAAGAACATTTTATTTCAATGAACGCTTTGACCAAAGTAGATGGATTTACGTACGCAGCTCCAGAAGGCATTCCTTACTTTACGGAAAACTTAAAATCTTGCAATGATAAGGATTGTAACAGAAAGAATGTTGCCTTGGGGGAAATGGAATGTAAATGCTTTCATTATAAACAAATTGGGTACAACAAGATTGTGCAGGTAGGCTTGTTTATGAATTTCACAATAATTTTAAGAAAGTGCTCTACTTGAAATCTTAAAACTGCTCAAAATTTTTATATAAGTTCTGTGGTACCTGTACATTATTTTAAAAACTTTTTTTACAGTTTACAATTTATAATATGGGGCCAAAGCGGCCAGGACATCCTTACTTGGCAATGCCTGTGCATGTACCTAGTACTCACGTTTACGTACTCAAAATGGGATTTCCGACATACTACAATAATCAAACTATCAAGGAGTTTAACAAAGATATTAAGTGTGATAATCCTGAGGTATGTTACTTTAGAAAGCCAATATAAACTAAAATTTAAAAAATTTTTAAATCCGTCATTTGGAGAAAAGTATCGGTCTACTTATGGCTTGGCTTTGAGTTCAAAGTTCTATGTTATTGTATAAATTTTTTTAAAAAATTTAAAAAAAATCTAAAAATTTCTAGTTTGGTTGTTTCAACTCAAAATGGACCAATACCTCCTGGCTGAATGGAAATATACCCTTTAGCAACAAAGAGCCCAGTTATGTCACTAATATCCTAGTACCATATGGAGGGTACACTACAATACGATTCAGAAGCTCTAAAGCTGGCTGGTGGTTGGTGGAAAGTATGCGTTTGTCTGAACGTGAGAATGGAGTCGCATTTGCTATCAAAGTAGGAGAGAATTCAGAAATGCCAGTACCTCCAGCCAACTTTCCAACGGATTGTGGCGTTTTTGAACCTTCGGAGGCAGGTTTTATTAATATTGATGGTTATAAATTATGTTTTTTTTTTTATTTTAGACGCTATTTTTTAAATTTTATTGTTATGTTTTAAATTTAAAGTGTTTCAGATACCAGACTATGTACGAAACAAAGAAATACCTTCAATGTAAACTGCTTTTATCTCAAATTTTTTATGAAAGTCAGGTCTAATACTTTTTAATAAATGATTTTTACTTATTAAGCTTAGATTAGCTTTAAAATTTACTAAATTATCAAAAAAAATTTTTTAATTTTAAAATTTTTAATAAAATCCAAACTTTTAAACCCATTTTTATTGCCCAAACAGAAGAAAGTGATCATTTCGGCCGCGCGAAACACTGAATTAAACCATGAACTAGCCCACCAACTCTTCTTTGAATGGATACTTGATTCGACTGCGCCGTAGACTGATCCGGATTGACAATCTCTACAAGCACTTAAACCGCACGTTCAAGGCTAACCATGCTTTCCAGTTTGGGCCGAATCGGCTCAAAGTTGGCGATCAAGCGTTCGATCAGTTTCTGCTTCCGGAATGGGTCCGATTGCTTTAGGGCTTCCATTGTGAGGAAATTGGCGGCGAATATGCACTCGTGCGGGTAGTGGAACATGTACATTTCTCGTAACTAAATTTTTTATATTTTCAAATCGTCTAATTAAAAAAAACTATATTTTTGTAATAAAAGAAGGCTTGACAAATAAAGGTAACTACTGGGACCTACTCCCAAAAAATTTTATTTTTTTCATAATTCAAATTTAAAAAAAAACTCACCGTGTCCAACGTAAAATCTGGTGCCGACCCCTGTCTTCTGTATTCAATGTACAATCGTTCGTAATATAACCGCAAAAACCGATCCGTGCACATTCGTTGCACATTGGCCGAGGTGCTGATCAATATGAATCGCACCAAATCGTTTATTCCAGTACCTTTTATAACCTAATAAAATGTAGTTTTACATACCTATATGGACAGCTTGCCAGTCAATGAAAGCGTACACTTTATTGGAGATATGGCCATGTTCATCCTTTTCAAACAATATGTTGTTGGCCCAGAGGTCACCGTGCGAAATCACTGGTCTTATGCCTAAATTATTGAAAGTGTATGGCTTTTATGCTTTCTTAAATAATATTGTTGAGATGTTAACAGTTAACAAAGTTACAGCAACGTAAAAGTATTTACTTTCAGTTTTAAATGCGCCACTAGACAGACAGTACTATAACTACTCACCAAAGTTAGTATGAGGTTCATATGGCTGAGCGTACGCCGAATCCAACAAGTTCTTGTACGCCCGTTCATGCTTAATAAAGTAGGCTTCCCCTAAATTCACTAATCTCTTCCAAATGTACAACTCATCATCGTGCAGCTGTAGCCTGTGATTCCCCCTTAACTGTCGCATCACCTCTTCAGAATTGTTCATACATCTGGAGTAGGCATGAAACTTGGCAATCTCTTCAACAACATGACAACATTGGTCGATCGAAAGGCCATTCACAACATCTGGCATTACTGCACGGTCATTTAAACTCTCCAGTAAAATTCTACCATGCCGTCGTGTTGACATATCACTATCTTCATAACCAAACATTTGAGGAAAGTGTAGATGCGGGTATTGTGGAGCTATTAACGTGTAGAATAGGACTTCATGGTTGTGGTAATAGATGAGACCATCGGCCATTTGGTCGATGAATCCATACAAAGACTTGTTTTCTCCCAATACTTTAAACTTGTTCATGCATGGAGCCTGAAGAAAGAGTTTAAACTCAGTAAAATAACTTTTAAGTTTTAAAAATTTTTTAGTAAAATATGTAAGATTAAAAAAAGTATATTATACACCAAAGCATGGTAGAAACGTCAAAAATTAAAAAATTTTAGCTTTGAAAAGGTAATATAGAGTCTTACCTTCAAATAAAATGTAAAATGTGAGTTAAATCCACCAAAATATATTTCAACCTTTGCCACGTTAGATAAGTATCCGCCTGATATTATCTCGTATTGTATCTAAAACAACTAAAATTGTATTGACACAATAAAGGATAGAAAACTAAACTTTAACTACTATAACTTTTATCTCTAAGAAAACTGAGATACCTAACGGCCACAAAAGATTAACAATTGGCCAAAAAGACATGCAAAACTACCATCACACAACCTTATGACCAGCCATAAACTAACCTTACTAATTTTCTTCTTGTGCCTCCTCAACTGGTCCCACTTCTTGTCTTTCCCATCCAACTGCTCCACAATCCATTCAAATGTCACGTCCGTCGGTTCTACATATTCAGCTAGATTTACCATGGTCATATCATGAAATGGCAGTAAACAAATAAACAAGAGTCGTCATGGTATTGTGAAACCCCAACGTTTTGTTTCAGCCATCTTTACTTCATCCGGATTTGTTACACGGTTTCGCAGTTATGCTTCAGTGACTTGACAAAATCCGCACAGTAAAAAAGTGCACATTGCAATCGAATGAGTAGGTAATGGAATGATACTGTGTTATCTAAAAAAAATAGTTTTCATTGTAAACTAACAATTTTTATAATATTAAACCCCTACGTATTTTACATTACCGTAAAACAATTGTATAAAAAACTCTTGTACAACAAAAATCTCGTATAACAAAAGTTTTTAAATCCTTTGCTATTGTTACGTAGTGCATTTAAAACTCCTCTATAACAAAAACTTGTTGCAACAAAAAATTTCAAAACCGTCGAGCAGTCAGTTATACATTAGTTTCATTATAATAGAAAATTTCACCTACGTTTTTAAACCTTAAAACTTTACATTAGTAATACCAAAGAAATTCTGCATAAAAAATCATTCTGAATTTTTAAATTATGTAGTATGTTACTAGCGATTTTCAGTACATAAGAGTTTTAAATTTACTAAGTCGCGTTAGCCGAAGGATTGAATGTTGATTGTTAAAGAGAGTTTTGATATAGACGAGCTCGTTAAACAGAACTAGACTGTATTTAAAGTTTGATGCTACTAGAAAAAAACGTCTACAATGTTTTACCTGTTTTAAGTAACATTTTAATTCATTTAGCAGGCGCAAAGGTGTATAGGTCCATCTTTAGTGCAGCACAAGTTAGGCCATACCTGAACCATTTCATTTACAAGTTTTTTTACAAAAATCAGCCTTATTTTGCAAAATTCAAGAAAGCTCGTTTCCCTCAACGTGCTTTCACAAAGCTTCAAAATTTAATTTTTTTAATGTGAATCTCCAAGATGCCAATGACCTGAATCGCCGGAAGGCAAATGGGAAAACAGGTGGAATACCTCAATGCCCTCTCCGAAATGATTTATGAAACAGATTTCGTCGCCGAATCGTCTACAACAAAAGCAAAAGTGGAATACGCAATAAGAAACCTGCGAAAGCAAAAGTCGACCGGTTAAAACGGCGGCGGACGGTTACTTTTACCTTTTTGTAATTTGAATATAGGCGCTTTAGTTTTCGATAGAAGGCTTCCTTAATGTTTTACTAACGTTTGTTAAGGAAATTAACTATAAAAGGTTTAGCAACCGTTTTTTACCAAAAAATTTAAAAAAATCATATTTGATGTCAAAATTCAAATTTTAAAAAAATTAAATTTTAGTAATAGACTAATTTTTAGTTTTTACTTTGTAGTTACTTTAGCACTGTTAATATCTGCCTTTAGATTTTATTGAAATATTATGACACTGTAGCTAAAATTTTCCGCTTTCCGCTTCAACGTGAACATAGTGTTGCCGTCGCGCCACGTTGTTCATCTTCAGGAAAACAACTTGTTCTTCTAACGCAATCAACGTATACGTCGTTTTATTAAAACACGGCACGTTTTGTTTCATTATTTACGTTTTTTTAAATAACTTTTTTATTCTCTTTGGAGTCTTTTGTTAAAATGAAAGTTACTTATTACAAAAAATATTTTTTAAGAATTGTGTTTTATGTTTATTTTAATAGGACGTATTTTAAAAATTTGACTTATATTGTTCAAGTGTTCTAGTGTCTTAAGCTAAGAACTTTGTGTAAATGCATTTTGATTTACTTTTATTGCATGAAAAACAAAAGTTAGCATAAATTTTTAAAAGATTTGGTAGTGGAAGCACTTCTTGGCCAAAGCGTCTTATATTATAATTTGCAAAGTATTATGTAGTAAACTATAAAGTAAATACTACAGTGTCAAATATACCTTCAGAATCCTGTCTTTGCTAAAACTTTTTTAAAATTTTTGAAAGTTTTTATGTTGCAAAGACGTAATTTTTGCTTTACAAGTCTTTCTTTTTTTAATTTTACTGTAAGTTCAATTGTATTACAGAAAAACTTTAAAGAAATACTGCACTGTACTTTTAAGCCAGTTTGTCTAACTCAAGTACAGACAATTTGTGTTTAAGACAACTGAAAAAATCTGTTTTGTCTCAACTTTCTATTGTCTCAACGCCTTGATGCCTCGCTATTTCACTGTTCTAATCTCATAAGACTCGCCCAACCAATGTCACAAAACAAGCCTAATCTTGTCAGCTCGTCCTAGTCTTAAAGCAAGAATAATGTCTACGAGACGACGTGATTTCGACGTACTTGTTTTTCTATTACATTTTCGACACTTTCACAGAACGCGGTAATCGCGTTATTGCTGCAACACAGAAGTTCGTGTAAATTGAATCGTTCAAATTGAATATGAGTACGTGATGGGGTGTCTGAAGACGCATATCTTTTATTTATTTTGATTGGGGACATTGACAATGATAATAATTGTTTTTTACAAGATGTTTTTGGGCTTGGGGAAGAGAAAGAAAAAAAAATAAATTTTTTTTTGATTTTTACTTTAGTTTTGTCCTTTTAATACTTATTACAAAATTATATCGACTTACTGTTTTTTTTCACGTTTTCTAACTTTTTATAGTTTTACTGTACGTTTTACCTATTGTTACCGGGCCAGACGCTGGAAAGAGTAATTCTGCCTTACCCTACCTACCCTGACTTACTCTACCTTAAGCTACCTTACTTTACTCTAAACAATAGGTTCTTATAGTTCAAAATGACATTTTTATTTGTCAACTTTCTCAACCTTGTAGTAATATCACTAACACAATTTGGCCAAGCACAAAACAAAATCCAGAATGAGATTGTCGCCGGAAACTCGAGATCTCGACGCAATAAAGAAGGAATGGCAGATAAACGCGTTTCTGTTCAGAATCCGGATTCAGCGATAAAACCGAGTAAATAATTTTTGGCGTAACTTTTTTGACAGCGAGGTTGTTTAGAAATACAATGAGGGTTTTTTGACACAAACTTTGTGGAATAATCTTTTGAATACCTTGCAAAGGTCGGAAGGCGACGGCTTACGAGGAGTTCTGATTTTGTTGGGGAAGATGTTTTAGCTAAGGGGGGTACGTAAATAGACTTGTAAAGAAACTTGCAATTCTCAATTTTTCGGCTTGGCCCACGGGTTGGGCTTTGATTTCGGTCACCTATAAAATGCTGAATATGTGACCACGTTTTGCTAACAAGTGCCGACTCAGCACGAGCTTTTTAAAATATGATTTGGCTCAGCCCGACCCTTTGCATAAGTCATTAAAAATCGATTGTATTACCTTAAATATACAACAATTAGCATCAACTAACAAATTTTGTGTATCTTAAGTAATTAATGGTTTAATAACATTTGGTTCTTATTTTTGGCTTTAAAATCAGAAGTTTATTCTTTTGTTGCGGTACCTCAGCTAGGTCCTTGTAGCTTTTATTTAGATTTGGTCTTCGAGCCTGCCCGATCTGGCTCGACTTCTTTTTTGAAATTTGTTTTGTGTCCGCCAGCGCGGCCTAATTTTTAAACACGGCTTTTACTATATATGCAAAACACTGTGAATTTAAAAAATTACAAATATTTTTTTAGATTACGAATGTTATTATTAGTTGTTTTGTTAATACTCTACACAGTTTATGGAAAAGGTAAGTAGTTACACATTTAATTTTTGATTAAACCTGATATTGGATTGATGATATCTTTGACTTAAACTTATGGTATTTAAAACTATGCTTTATTAATTAGCTTTTTTACAAAATTTGTTTTAGAATGTTCACATAAAAGTTATTTCATAGAGCACAAATCGGTAGTTGAAGGACGAAACATAGCCACATTTCCAGCAAGCAGTGTTGATGAATGTGCTCAGAAATGCTCTTTAGTAAGTTGGTTTTAAGTTTTTTTTTTAAATTTTATAAAACCAAAATTTCAAATTTTAAATTTTTTAAAAATTTTCGCCGCAATTTTAAATATCTTCTGTAAAAATTCAAACTTTTCTAGACCTCCAACTGTGATGCCGCCAACTTTTTGTTGAACCCAGAAGACCACTCGATATGCATGTTAGTGAACTCTTCTGAAGCTTCTGGAGACTCTTTGACTCCACTAGCAGCTTCTGTCGTTTATTCGTTGCGACAGTTTTGTACAGAGACAAAAGATGCTTGTGTTCCACGACAATGGTCATTTGAGAAACATCATGGCTATGACACTTTAGATGAGACATACATTTTGGGCGAAATTTCAAATGTCACATTGGAACAGTGCTTGAATTCGTGCTTAAGGTCGTAAGTTAACCTTTTTTTATTATAAAGTTCACATAATTCTGTGCTTTTTCTCAAAGCACCTTTTTGGACGTAGGGGGCACAGAATTATTTGAACAGCTTCATATAAACAAGAAATGTGTTTAATATTTCTTTAGAGTAGCATTAGTTGTTTTTAAAAAATTTTTACAGAAAGCAATGTGAAGCCTCGTTATACGACAAAAAGTCAAAACAATGCCGGTTGTCGAAGGTAACATTGAATAATGTCAACAGTATAAAACAACATTTTGCTTACTCTGAGCGTGTCGACCTTTATGAGAGCAATTGTGTTAAACGTAAGTTAAGAAAAACTTTTTATAGCTTTAATCACCTATATAATGTAGTAGCTTCAAAATTATATTAAAGATACAAAACCTGAGAGTAAGATGACATCCGCATGTTACAAATAGAGAAAAATATTATCTTCATAATAACGTTGTAGTCAAAGTTAAGTCACTCGCACCTGAGTTACAGCACAAATTGTAAAGTATAAAAATAGGTAACATATTAAACGATAGCCAATAAGCCAAAGAACGTTTTGAGCTAAATTAAAGCAAAATGAAACTTTGCCTATAAAAATGGCTAAAATACAAAAATACATCAAGCTGTAGACTGTGCAACTCTACTAATAGTGGGAATTCTATCCAACTTGGTAGTGAGATTCCTGGAGATAGATGGTTCACTGAACGTAGTGATCATATCTCTCTTAAATCTTCTTCTCAAAACATTCCGAAATGAAGGTATAAGGAATAGTACAGAGGCAGTGTTGAGCAATGGTATTATAGTAATACAGTAGGTGAACAGATGACCCATTATTACTAGATCAATGTGTATTAAGGCGCATGATATGTAGATAGTAACCGGGATGTAGTAGACAAATATTGGGTAGAGGGCCTGAATGTAAGACGTTAAGAGTTATAGGTACAATATGTTTAATTTAAAGCGAAAAAATTGTCTTGGTTTTACAGTTTTTACTATGTTTTACTGTACTTTAGGTTTTGGTACATATTTTTAGATAACATTCTATATATTTACCTGTGTTATCATAGTCTTTAGTATAGTCTTCTGTGCTCTCATGGTCTGAATCGAAGCTTTATACTGTTTCGACCGTAATCTTTGCTGAGTTTTGTACCCAAAATATATCATTATACTGTAAAAGCAGGTAATTATCAGTTGAAATACGACTAGTTTGATAATGGAGCACATTGTTACCTAAAATTAATTGTGTGGCATGACGTATATTTTTGTTTTGTATCAAAAACACTACTTGAAAACTACGTTTTTAGATAACTTTGTAGCATTTTTTAAATTTTTGTGACGATTTTACAGAGTAGCTTTATTCAGTAGAAGTATTTTTTTGAAAAAAATTTTAAGCATGATATTTTAAAAAAGGAACAACCCCAAAAACCTACTCCAAACATAGAAAACGCTTCCAATCTATCGTCAAAGATTTCCAGTTCTCCTAGAATCTGAATTGTCTCTTGAGGGTTGTCAATGTAGAAAACTGACATTAAGTAATCCAAAAATACAATACTAAACAAGCTTAAAAATTTTAAAAAATATTGAATATGTGACCATGTTTTGCCTTTGACTATAATGTCATAGCGGTACCAGAAGTGAACCAAATGAGTCAACGATATCATAAGGATAAAGTCACAACATAACATCACTAGAGCGTTGGCTTTTGGATACGGTAGTTCTTGAAGCTTGGGGTTTTCGGTTATAATTATTAATGTCGCTTTGTATACTATGGCTGTCTGTAAATGAATATTTTGTATGGTACAATGGTACGTAGTATAGTCCTAGGTTAACAATATACCCTGCTCTATCCTATCTTATTTTACCCAACTTTACTTTACCTTATTCTAGTTTACCATACTATACCTTATCTTACCTACTGCTTTCTCCTGCCTCTACCCCTGAGATAACGCTAGCTAATATTGTCATAAATACTCACCGGATGAATAAACAAGAAAGTCAAAGCATAAATTAGGTCGATAATAGTATTAAAAGTAACAATAAACGAGTAGTCCTTCTTGTACTGAGACGCGTTTTTTGAAACCTTTCTGGCCAATATAAGCACCATTAAACAAATAGTAATAGTAGTAACTACTATAGTATAGAATCCAGATGTAAACAAGTGTCGATACATGTTTTCTACTACCATTTTGTCAAAAGTTTACTTATTTTATACTATGTAAGACTGTTTTACAGCCGACAGCTGCCAGGAATAAATACGTTATTGGTGTAGAACAGTCGCTACATAAATAATATAGTCGTAATGTATAGAACACTTAGTATAATATTTTTGTTACCTAAGACAATATTATGTAAAATATGTATATTAGAGTGTTCACAGTACAATAAGCTATCGTATCAGTAGATATGTACAAGTAACAGTCTGTAAATATATTTATAACGTGCCAGTACGAATGTTTTTTGATTAAAATAAAAAAAAACAGTTTGACGCAGAAACTTGTAGGTGTTGTGACTAGCTCAGTAAAAGTCTTATCAATAAACAATAACAATATTAATATAGACAAAATAGGGCCAACTATAGTATTTAGTTCAACTAAATTAGCTTGTTTATAAAAAGAAGTACAATATAATCATTCACTTGACCGTGCTTACTCGTTGTACTCCAGCTTTAATTGTGTTATACGTGGTGAGTAGTGTCTATAACATTGTTATACACTAAAACGTACTATTTTAAAAACTTAAATTACTGTAAAATAGTACATCACAAAAAACGCAGAAATAACTTTAAAATTGTAGTGTTCTAGGATAACAAAAAGTACTATAATAATAGAAATAAGAATTGTTATTTGGCTATGCCAAGCCTAGAAACAATAGACAAGCCGATGAGGATCAGCCTATTAGCAGAAGAGGGAGAGGGTTGAAAGTTTACATCGCTTGTCTTTTAAAAATTAAAGTAATCTATTATACTGACCACAAACCGCAAACTAGTATTTTGCGAAGTCTTACGTTTAAATCTTCTTATTATAATAAAAGTTTGAAAGAAAATCTGAACGACGCAGGTTAAGTACCTTCTTTTCTATAAGCTATTTCTACCATTATTTAAAGTAAAAAACTCGCTTATTAAACACAAACACAATAAATTTTTCTAACAATGTAAAGATCTGAAAATATGTAAATGATGGCTATGTTTTGAAGCAAAAATTATAAAAGTTAAACAAAATATAGTTACAAATGACAAAAACGCTATTTACCGTTTTATTGTTAGCCAACTTGCCAAGCGTACTATTCCTAGGAAAGTAAGTGCAAAAAATAAGGAAATGAGGTCATAAAAAATTACAATACTGAATAATATAAATAAGTTGTGAGTAACAATAAAACTTGTACAACTAGACGTAATAAACTTTTAGACACAAACACAAAATTCAATAATTTGAAGTTTTCTTTTAAAAGTGCACCATTTTATAGACTTTTTCTTACTACGATCTTGTCATATTTTATTCTAGCAAACAAAAATTGAATTTGGAGAAAAGTTAGTTAAATACCAGTTCATGAGAAACGTATTTCTGGGTCAAACAAACTTTTAGTGTTATAATATAAAACTAGCAATAAATCAAATTATTGTAACTTTTTCAAAATTTATTTAAAAATTAATTTTCAATATTCTAATGGTTAGATATGAGCGTAACTAGAGTTACTATGCACTATGTTACTACTTTGTAAATTATTGAGTTATAAATAATGAAACCACTAATTTTTACCCAACAAAAACCTTGAGACTAGTGTCATAATCTTTAATATGCATATGTTTGCCAACAGTTTTAGAGAATTGTAATGAAAAAACAACAAAAAATGTCTGTTGATAATTAATGAAGCACGTCTGCTGGCGGCATTAGAACGATAGTATACAGTGAAACTCCTGTATAGCGTACTCTCCTATAAATAAATTTTTGTATAACGAACAACTTGTAAAGCCCTGTCTATTAATACAGAGTTTTATGCAAATTGAAGCGATCCGACTACAACAGTGCCTTCAAAACTCACAAAACTCTTTTATAACGAACAAATTCTAAATTTCCAAGCCGAGCAACGCGTTATATATGAGTTTCACGTAATATAGTACTATGATTCAATTTAAATATTTAAAAACAGTTTTTCGAAATAGTAAATTTTAAGTTAGGGAAGGTAGTGGGAGTAAGTAAAGGTCATTAATAGTTAATATAATAAGTAAAATTTTAAACCGTACGAGTTGGTATATACGTAAACATTTAAATTTTGAAGCAAAAGTATAAAGGGTAAAGACAAAAATAACTCTACAGAAAGTAAAATGAACGATCTAATTTTATATTTTGATACAGAAAGGGCTCATAGAAAAACGTTTTAACTACTTTTTAAATAAAAAGACTCTAGATATAACGAAGCTCTACTACAACGAAGCATTTTTCAAACTTCTTGCAATGCGCTATTTCAGAAGTTTACTGTATGATACTTCATTCATGTGTTCATAAAATTAAAAAATGTTTTTTCATGTAAGTATAACTGAGATGGAAAACGTACCTACGTATTAAAAAATAATTTTTGATCAAAACAATGAAAGAGCTAGTAGCACACGTGCTAAGAAGACGTGATTATCTTACCTGCGACGACTAATACGTGCTTAACTTAACGTTAAACTCTTTAACTTGGCATGAAAGTCTTAGTGCAGGTGATCTTATAAATTACAGCTTGCTTAAAAATTTATACTCATGGGTATAACTATTTTTTAAGTTTGCACTTTAGTAACATGCTAACGCACCTTTTAATTATGTTATAATTTTAACACATTAAATCAATGATTTACTAATTAAGCTTATAATAGCAGTTTGAGCAATTTAGAGTAATATAATAATATAATACTGCTAAATCAAAATTTTAAAAAAGTTTTAAAATTCATAAACAAAAGTTCTAAAAAAATTTTTTTTGAAGAGTATGAAAAAGGAGTGAGGGAAAGTAAGCTTAAATTTAAAAAAAGCGAACACAACAATAAGTTTGATAAAAGAACTCTAATCACAAACCTACTTCCTATCACAGTTTTAGTACTTAATTTGTCTGGTCCATTTCTAAAAAATTAAAATAAGTGTCAACTAACTGTGACAAACGGAATGACAATTAAGTGTAACACTACAAAAACGTATTTTTGCAGCTTATCATCTCACACCTGAAACTAAAATTGTATTTTAACGATTATCTTTAAAACGTTATAAAAATGTAGTGATATCTTGACGTTCTAGCTATCGCCAAAAATTGCAATATTTACATTCTTAGCATTTGGAAAATTTATATGGTAGTGTAGTACAATTTATTCATAAACGATAAAGACACTTCATTATAAAAAATTTAATAAGATATTACTGTGGTGTCTATTGTTAATTTAAAGACAAACCAAAAAAAAATATTTTTTATTTTTCTGTATTTAGACTAAGTAGCCGCCCTCTACTGTCCACAATGTTACGCACTTAACCTTACATTTTTCTGTAAATTTTTGTTTGCACTTAACCTTACAATTACTATATTTTCTATAAATACTATATTTGCAATACATTTGCAACATATAAAACGTACATTGCGGAAGTACAGCACAAATAATTGGTGTATTAAGCCATAAAATTAAAACAAAAACGGTAAAAGTACGGCAATAAAAACAATGACATTAAAAGTAATGTAAGGCGATAAAAAGTAAAAATGATCTTTGTTTCTGCATTTTTTTTAATATTTAAAATTACATTTGTAAAACAAGGCGGTGTGTTAAGGCGAATTTGTAAGCATACAAAATTGGCAAGAAATATTGCTTATTAATTAGTTTTTTAACCTGCATTAAGTTTAAAAATATTTTCAATTTAACTTTAAGGTAAAGCACGTAGCTAACGTTTGATATTAAAACTTATTTAGAACGATTGGGTGCAAAACATTGATGGCAACGACAAAAAACACTTTTTAAAAACGTTTTAATTATAAAAAATATTTTTAGGAAGATTCAACACTAGAAATTGTGGCTTCACAAGGATCAATCAAGCTGGCTTCATTGATATTTTTGATTCCAAAATCGAAAAAGTGCAAGACTTGACCCAATGTGAGAACATCTGTTTGGATTGGCGTTTTGGCACTTGTAGATCATATACATATGACAAAAAGACAAATTCTTGTTACTTGAGTCATAATGGTCAAAGAGCTACTGGAAGATCAGTTTTGGAAACCATCGACAACAACTTGGCTTATGGGGAGTTGGAGGATTGCGTAAATTGTAAGTTTTGGCAAGAGTAGGGTAAGGTAGAGAAAGGCAGGGTAAGCTAAGGTACATTAAGGAAAAGTAGGATAAGATAGGGTAAGTTAGAGTAAGATAGGGTCAGCCATTTACAATAAGATAGAGCAAAGTAAGACAAGATAGGGTAAGGTAGGGTAGGGTAAAACTGTGGTTGTATTTATGAAATTTTAGTTGAACTAGACTGCCGAGCCAAATCAGTTAGGCTTATCGGAAGTTCTTTCAAATTGTTCAAAGGCTTTATACGAACAAAAAAGGGAAAACAAATTGTGTGTGAACGAAATGTCACAAACAGTTATGAATTCGAAACGATATTTGGATTTGATGAATGTGGAATTCAAAAAATTAAAAAGAATCAGAAGATCTATAGTGGAATGATCATGGTCAAGGAAGGAAGCACTGACCTGATTACTGTGCACGACAAAATGATTGAGGTGAGTTTAATTGTATATAACCGAGATGGTGTTGGCTACCGATCTTTCCTCTTTTCTCATTGCTTACCTAAATTGCCTTTACTTTTTTTACCAAAGTTTATTTTAGATAAAATGCAAAATTCACGAAGCCTATCACGATGAAGCCGCCAAAGGCCTAAATTATCGAATTCAGATTCAAGACCCAAATGCAACTTTATCACTAGATTCAGATGTTCCAAAGTCAGTGTTTGATGATATTGACCAGAACGCTCAGTTCCAACTTGATGTGTTAGACAAAAATGGCAGATTAGCTCAAGTTGTTGAACCTGGAGATGATGGATACCTCTTGATAACGTTAGATGGAATGTTGTCTTCTGAATCTCAGTTTGTGGTCAGTGACTTGTACGCTGAAGACGAGAGTGATGTTGTAAAGTTGATCGATTCTGAGGGGTATGTCATTGGTTTTTGGGGGTTTATATTGAGGTTGATAGGTGATTTTTAAAAGTTAAAGTTTGTGAGTAGTACTAATAATAATATTAGTTTTACGGGTTATTTAACTAACGTGATGATTACACGCAAGCCTCGTATTTTACAAAGCTTTTTATAACAAATTTTAGATGTGTGGTAAACTCAACGTTAGTGACATCACTATCACGGCCAGCAAATAATCAATTAAAAATTGGCATCCGATTCAGTGGATTTTCAGAACAATCACAAGTAACATATCGGACATTGGGAAAAATTTGTCATACCGACTGTGATTTACAGTGTAACAAAGATTATTACAGAAGAAATGAAAAGTAAGTGTAAGAATAGTTGGTAATCAAATTTGAACTTATAAACTCTTAATTTTAGCTAAATGTTCTTAAGTTTTTAATGTTAAGCTTCAAAAAACTAAATTTAGAATTATCAACCAGATATCAGATGTAAAGCTACTCCATCGAATACGAAGACAAGCTGATAAAGCTGTTCGTAAGTTCACGCTGGCTGAAGATGTTTATGGCATTGTTAGTAAGAACACTGTCAGGTTACAAAGAAGAGAGATCTTACCCAATGTGCACGTTCAGTTCGACAAAAACTTTGACAATTTAATAGATGATAAAGAGCTGCAAAATGTCATTAATGAATTGGACGAAAGTAAATCTAGTGGAAAGAAAGCAAAACAGGTAAAATACTATACGTAATTGCTTTATTTAAAAATAGTGAATATATTTATTTAGCTATATTACAATTATAAAGATTTTGCAATAAGATTTTAATTTTTATTTAAAAATTAGAATAGGTTAGAATAGAGTGGGGTATTACTTTAAGTTTAAGAACAGAAAGTAAACGTTGACATTACAGCAGCAACCACTGTCTTTGGGCTGCTTCAATGATGACTTGAATTGCATGTTCACTGTCACAATGGCCATATTACAATTCTTACTAATGATATCATGTTCTTGTATTGTTTACAGTGTTGCAAAGGTTTGTTTGATTCATTTTTAACGTGATATAGGACACTTTTATAAAACTTTTTAATTGTAATTAAAAAAGATAAATCAAAATAATCAAAATTCTACTTGTAGATATCAACCTTTTAAAGTGATTTCAAAATAAAAATCCTTTACAGAAATGGATCCGCTACTACAGAAATCGTGGTCGTCGAATGTCCCAGATGCCAGATGACATAAGTCGCTTTAGTGACGAAGTTTCAGCAGCAACAATATCTCAAAGTGATCTCACGACACCATCAGCCATGTTGAACGAGAATCTGAATAGACAGCATTCAGTTTATGTTCCGCGAAAGGAAAAGTAAAATTATGTTAACTATAACATTTGATTGTTTAAATAATTCTGTGTCCCTAACTCTAATAATTTGTTTGAGGTGTAACACAGAATTATTTTATTAATCCAATGTTAGTATAGCAGTGTGTGATGTTTTAAATCGTTAGCTGTAACAAACTTAGAATACGATAACATTATATTGTTAATGATTTTTGTTGTAAATAATATTATTTTAATCTTTTGATACTCAGCTAGTTCTCATTGTTATTTTGTGTACTATAGGATGAAAGACGGGGTATTTTACTGCTACCGATGTATATAAAATGTTAATTTTTTAATTTCAATAAATTTTACAAATTTTTGTAGATGTATATACTATAACTAGTGATAGACAAATGACGTATAATATATAATATAACCATAAGACAAAATAATCAGTTACGGCTTGTAGCCAGCTAAAATTACTACTTGAATTTATAAAACTTGTTATTTAAAAGTAATTTAGTACTTACTTTCATTCAAGTGACTTAAAATGTCATTTCATAATAAAAACCGTCCTTAAATCTCAAACATCATGTCCAAATTTTGCACCAAAGACACGCGTTAGATGCTCTCAAAGCCTCTTATAACGTAATCGCAGCTAACGACTACAAAGAATATAAAGTATAATAAAATGATTTGCACTTTACCAACATGCATTAATTAGTAAAAGCAAATGTAGTCTGTCTATGCCAATATCATCTGTATATTTTTAGCAGTATCAATACCTATGACAATATCATGCTTTATTAAAGCAGTCGAATCAAAGTTGTTTAGTTATTATTTGCCACTGTTGTTGAAGATGTCATTTTAATCAATTTTTAGTAGATTTACAAGCTAAATACGTACATTTTACTGACTCGGACTAAAGTCATTTTGAAAATCGGTATAAATTTCAACAGCTTATGATATTTAATAGGTCGTTGATATTATTTACCATCTCTTTATTGTTAAATTTCTAGTTTTTGCAGATTTTTGAAGTCTCCGCCGATTGTCCGCCGAGTTTTTTGGTCTGCACCGGTCTTTTCTCGCTTTGTTCACGGTTTACCTAATTACGAGCTTGTGGTTTTTTAGTTCGGTTTGGTCAGCGGCCGCCGAGTAAGATATGACTTTGAGACGATCCCAGCCACTTCTAAATAACAACCTATGCTGATGTTTTCAATTTTTTTTGAAAACTAGCAAGTTCAACATTCAGAATTAAAAAAAATGAAAGATCTTACTTTTATTCTCTTCCCTTCTCTTTCTCTCCTTCCTTAACACTGTTTTTTGACCACAAACTTCTCACCCTGAATGCCCTTTTAAAGTTGTCGTAGTGTGTGTTTCCACGTCGGTGTGATGTTTGTTCGCTTCGTAAAGGTCTCTCTTAATGAAACTGTTTGCTCTTTTTTTCAAACGCTAATATAGACCTCAATGGTTTATTGAAAAACGTATTTGAATTACCTTTAATCGTTTTTAACACCATTTTTAATATTATATTCAGTTGTCATAGAGATTCGCGAGTATAACCTGATGCCTTCAGATTACATATATTACGCGTTTTGTCTGTTTGATGTCTATTAAAGAGAACATAATATGTTAAAATATGGTTGCAAATTGGTTTTTTGAGACCAACTTGTTTTTGATATTTTACGTTGACTTTGATAACTTTTAGGTTTTTTAATGATTTGAGTTGATAGCTACGTAAAAATGATTTTTCAGGAATAGTTATATTATATAATGTATTGATTTTTAACTTTAACATTGTCTTTGAACATGTAAGCCTTTGATTAAAAATGGGTTTTTAAGCCAAAATTCTTTTTTTAAGCCGGTTTCAAAAGTGCACGTAATTGGAAGTTTTAAAAGACCAAAAACGTGTCTTTACTTTCTGTTAATCTTTTACACATAAAAGTTATTTATGAGCTAATACTAAGTTTTACAAAAAGAGGGTTTACTTAGAAATGTATTATGTATCATATTTTGGTCGTCTGCATATTATTGTTGGGTAGGTTTTTTTGCTGGGAAGGAGAAGATTTAAAAATTTAATTAAATAAATACTTTTCAGTTTCCAAAGAACTTTTATTTTTTACTATTACGTAATTTGATAGTTTTGAGGGAAGGAGTAGACTTGAAAAAGGGCTGGTCTACTATATCTGTATCGCCTTCGCTTTGGGCTGGGCCTTTGGTTCAGGTTCCGGTTCTCGGGCCACCCTTTTACTGTACATATTTTCTTTACCACTGATTGAGAAGCAAAAAGTCGTTACGTAGTTTTTGGTTTTTAAGTGATCTAAGGTGATTAAACACTGACGTTTTTTTTATAATTTTTTATCATCTAAAAAACGCGTTCTTATCACTTTTGAAACAGTCTTCGTATACTATAACCTTTTGAGTTTTTAAGTTTTTTATAAACATTTTCGGATTTTTTTTATTTTACTTTTAAATTACATTTTTTTAAGTAAAACAATTTTTTTAATACCAAGAAAGTGGCTTTATTTAAAGAAGTTTTGTTTTTGTATAACCCCTAGCAATTTGTTATACAAAAGTTTTTATTTTAGGTAATGTCTAGAGAAGTTAAGACCGAAGATGTGTATGTAAATGTTATTGATGACATTGATTTGCCAAGCACATCAAAGGATAGTACACCATGTAGGAACGACGGTTTGAATTCTTGTGCCATTTGTCAATTTCCTTCTGCTGCTAAACACTTTGGAGTTTATAGTTGTAGGCCATGTAAGTTGCTTATTCGGATCACTTAAGGTTGATCCTACAGTTATAAGCTAGAACACGATAACAAGCCCACAATATAAGGTTATAATATTTACCTTTCCTCAAAAAATCAACAATAATATAATATATATAAACCGATAACGATAAGATCCAGGTATAAAGTATGTGACGTCCTTCGGACGTCCTAACTGTCCTGAGCCTGCTGACCAACTACTCGACTGTCCTGTTGCTTCTTCGTCCTCCCCTTTTTATAGTGCTGTCCACGTACGCGGTGCGGAATGCCAAGTGCTGTTCGTCGTCGATGCGGGACGCAGGTGGAACGGGGATGTGGTTGATCGCTGGCTGGTCCTACTCGCCCTCGTCCTCTGAGATGACGTCTCGGCATCTGAAAGTAAAGATTAGTAATGTAGGTATGGGTCGCTTCCCCTCCTCAACATGAAAGGCGTCCCGACTTTTTGGACAAATATGAATCTTTTTCCATCGATGAGCTTCTGTATTGTTGAAGCCTAAAATAAAGGTAAAGTAAAAAATTAGAGGAGAAAAGAAAGACAAAATAAAGGTAAAAAGACAAACAACGTAAAAGGGGAGAAAGACAAGCAAAGGAGGGGTCAATACAACTAAAGGGGATAAATAAGGGGGGGACAAAGAAAATCAAATTTCGAACAAAATGAAAAGCTTCTGTATAATATTAGCTTCAAAAATCGGTCCATTTTTTCAGTAATGGTACTCGACAAAGGTTCGAAATTAAACGTAAAAGGGGGAATATAATTTGATTTTTCATTATTCTCAGAAAAACCTTTAACATAGTCATTTTTAGACTCAATAATATTAATTTTTACCTGCATTTTGACATCCTTTTCAACGTCTTTGAAATCTTGGACCAATAAGCTTTCATTCATCGTAGGTTCTTCAACTTGAGTTGTAATTGGTGTCACTTTCTCAATGATCTTCTTATCGGGTAAGGCTTCTTCAATAATTTGGTTGACATCGTGTAATTCTGTGGCTTCTGATTCAACTTGAGCTTTGGTAATCCATTCTGGGGGTATTGTAGGTGACCTTGATATACTTTGAAGCGGAAATGAATGGTTCTCGACTTGATTCTGATTAATAACGGAAACTTGTTCATGGTGATGCTTTCTTTCATCTCGAATTCTTCTGAAACAATGATCAATATTATGATTAAGCTTTTTACAATATAAACACTTTAGACGTGGTTTATGAAATTTGTAACCCGAGTTGTACCCACGCTTCTCTACAAATCGGGTTGGCAAAAATCCTGACTTGAATTTTGATCTTGCTGGAAATACTGCGACATTTGGCCAAAGTTTTCGTGATGTTGTTGATTATCCCAAGGAGCTTTTTGACAATATAAACCATCAAAAGCAGTAACAGCGATTTCAACAGCCTTTTTGAATGGAACATCGCCTCTAGCAGCTAAAGCAATGTGAACTTCTGGAAAATTGATCCCCATAAGGAACTTTCTCATTAGGTTAACCTCCAGAATATCAGTTGGGGCATTTGGGTAAGCTCGCAATGTTACTCTGCGCACGATATCAGCGTAGCTTTGGATACTTTGATCGCCTTTTTCTTATATAGTGGCTTCAAAAAATTGTCGATTGCCTTTTTTGCATCGAATTCAGAATCTAACAATTCATTTTTCAGAAGGTTTATTTGCGAGTCAAGGGAAGCCTGTGGATTTTCAAACTCAATACGATTCAATGTCAATCTAGCGTCGCCAGTTACTTTACTTCTTACTATGCTTGCCTTCAAAACTTCTGACAAATTTGCTGTATAATCAGTGTATGCATTGAAAAAGGAAAGCAAAAGATCTGGGTTTTCGTTACCAGTAATACTCGGGATCATATTTTGCGTTAGTATAAAAGTAGCTGTGTCATTGTCTAGGGGCTGAGGTGAAGAATCCTCTTTTTGTTTTACTTCCCCACTATCAGCAGAAACCGTTTTCGTTTTGTCTTTTTCCTCAATTTCCTTGACTAGGCTAGACAATTTAGTTTCTAAAACAATATTTTTTTGCGATACATCTGTCACAGTATTAGATATACGTTTAAAGCGCTTATAATTTCGTCGAGCTTGGAGTTATCTCCAGCTCCACCTTTAGTATCAGCCATTCTTGCCTAAAAACCAACAAAAAGAAGAAAAGTTTACCTTTACTTGGGTCTTTGATCGTGAGCTGGAGTCGAGGCTAGGCAAAGTCGGGTTTGGCTGGTCTTTGGCTGGCCTGAAAAAGCAACAAATTAATATATTGTTACCTAAAACAAGGTCACGAACGTGGAAATCAATTTGGATTTTTTGATCGAGATGCCAAAGAATCGAAAAAGACGTCGATTCTGGATTTTTTTAATCAACAAAGACGTTGATTTTTTTTTAACTTAGGGAGTTGTGAAATGACAATATTTGCCTCTTTCACCTACGTATAGTATCTCAATAAAGACGTTGAGATTTTATACGGAAAACCAATAAAGACGTTGGTTTTAGTACTCAATTTCGATAAAGACGTCGAATTGGTACTTATAAATCGAGAAAAACGTCGATTTTTTACTCAAAATCCGATAAAGACGTCGGTTTTGTGTACAGAATTCGATAGAGACGTCGAATTGGTACTTATGAATCGAGAAAAACGTCGATTTTTACTCAAAATCCGATAAAGACGTCGGTTTTGTCTACAGAATTCGATAGAGACGTCGAATTACTATCTTATGTTGATCGAAAGACGGATCAAAGGTAAATTTTTACACGAAGTAAAGCAAAAATAACAAAAGAATTGACAAAAATACACGTAAATTTCGCGAAAAATGTCTATAATAATATCGAAACCAATGTGAATAACTAACAAAACCATGCCAAAAAGGTATTAAAAGTGTTTCCAAAGTTCTCAAACGAATACAATATGGAAAACAACGAAATATTGGCACAAAAACAAGTATTCACACGTAAATTTCAATAATAATATCGACAAAGAGGAATATCAACCAAATATTGCCAACATCAAATCAAAAATTAGTCCAAAAGATCTCAGACGGATACAATAATGGATCTAAAAAGAATATGGCAAGAGAAATTAAAATTCACTCGAAAAAATCACGAAAGAAACCCACAATTTTGTCGAAAAAGGATGTTGTTTTAGACGAAAAGGTCCCCGAAGATTGTCGTTCCGAAGCCGCTGGTCGCCAATTCGGATCACTTAAGGTTGATCCTACAGTTATAAGCTAGAACACGATAACAAGCCCACAATATAAGGTTATAATATTTACCTTTCCTCAAACAATCAACAATAATATAATATATATAAACCGATAACGATAAGATCCAGGTATAAAGTATGTGACGTCCTTCGGACGTCCTAACTGTCCTGAGCCTGCTGACCAACTACTCGACTGTCCTGTTGCTTCTTCGTCCTCCCCTTTTTATAGTGCTGTCCACGTACGCGGTGCGGAATGCCAAGTGCTGTTCGTCGTCGTTGCGGGACGCAGGTGGAACGGGGATGTGGTTGATCGCTGGCTGGTCCTACTACTTTAGGTATTACATGTACATTTAGGCTTAAATAGGCAAGAGCAAGCTCATTGTTAGTATCATAAAAGTTTAAAATCTTAAGAGATTTGTTATACAGAGATGTCGCTGTAGCATAATATGGTATATCTTACTGTAAAAGTCATCCATGTAAAAATAATAATATTTTCATTTTAGGTGCCGCCTTTTTTCGACGTACCGTGGTAATGAATCGCAAGTATTTGTGTGGAAAAGACAACAAATGTGTTATTGATTATCGTAAGTTGATTTTTATATTTTACAATTGTTGTATGTTTAGATTATCGACCAATGTGTGCTTCCTGTCGCTACAACAAAATAGAACAAGCTGGAATGAAAGTAAACAGTAGGTTTGGAAGCTTATAACTAGGACTTTATAACAATAATATATTAGACTATACTTATAGAGTAATGAGGCTATATCAATATACTTATATTAGCGTCTTACATTTTTTAGATATTCGTCTAAATTGCGACAAAATCGGTCCAATTCAGCGAGTAACCGCTACTCATATTGTACAAGCCAACCCCTTACAATTACTCGAAACATTGGTCAAAGGATACAAACAGTTTTTGGTGAATATTGAAGAACTGTATTACATCGTCAGTCCTGGGTCATGCTTCAAAGGTATTAAATTTCGACCAGCAACACTGCCAGAACAACTTGTTAACGACCGGTCGCAAATCACCTACATGTTGAAGATGTTGAATCAAAGTTTCACGCCTTTTAATGAGTTCTCGGACAAAGATAAGGTAAAGTTATAGTTTTTGCGTAAAAACATATTTATATAGTATACTGTTTACTACTACATAAAACAGTTTAAAAGTTTTTAAATGTCAATTTAGGTAAAAACACTAGAAATGTTTCAACCCCAGTTCACTCGTCTAAACATGTGTTATTTGACTGTAAAATACTATCAAGACGTCCCTAATCGACTGGTTTTGTTTATTGGCGGTTATATTGACAAGTCAGCATTAGAAATTTTATACGCTGAAGACGATGACGTTGCGCAGTCTGTAAGGTAAGTGGATTTTTATATTTTACTAGTTTTGTGAACAAGACCGCGTGAGATTTGTAAACTGTAAAATTTTTATCAATTTTAGGTGTTTCACCAATTTAATGGCAAAGTACTACAAAATTGTGAACAAGTGGCGTGAACTACGGATAGATGTAACTGAAACTGCAGTAATGTCAGCTATAATCTTTTGGAGAGACTGTAAGTTATTTACTATAGTGAAACTCCTGTATAAAGAACACTTTTAGAACAAAAACCTCTCGATATTTCAGTAAATGTTCTCTTTGCCACCGACAAATACCAAGAGAACGTAGAGACAGTGTGTGGAGAGCTATACCAGTACCATAAGCAACAAAATCGATCGCTAACTCGATTGGGGATGTTGATGACTTGCCTACGAGATTTTGAGGAGATTATGCATATGATGAGAGCAAGTTGCGTTTTGGGTGAACTCATGAACAACAACTACGTGCCATACATGCATCAGGACATCTTTAAAGAAATGTACATGTCTGTTTAACTGAAGTTTTATTGACATAACCAAAAAGTTTTAAACTTGACTTACTGTCTATGTATATCTAGCGGGCAGTAATTTAGAATTGTCTTGTGACTATATCTAACAGTTTATAGTTGTAGTATTTTTCAGTGAAAATATCAATTTAACATGGTGTTAATACAGTAGATAGTAGTTAATACAATGTGTATACTACATATACATGTACTGACCATTACGATAGATGTTCATGTAAAAACGTGTAATTTATTGAGAATAAATGCAATTCTTTTAGGGAATCAAACAAACGTGATGTTTTACAAGGTGATCTAACTATCGCTCAGTTGTACAAATTTTCAAAATTATACATAAAATGAATTAATGTCAAGGTTTGGGCAACGTTTTACATGAACTAACTGTTTAGGACACACTTAGCTTTATGGGTAATATATTCGTCTAACTTCCCTCTTCCAAGGACTAATATTGGCCACTGGAATTCATAAACTTTTTAAAAAATTACATTGAAGTTATAAGTAAAACCAAAAATAGAATTACAATAGAATACCCCGCACGTTGTAAATTTTCGTAATAAAAATCTAGTTTGGCTGGGAGGGAATTTTGGTTGCGCAAACAGTCTCCCTCCAGATCCTGCAATCCGATCGTCTTGATTCGTGGGCTAGTCAGAGGCATAAGAAAGAGTCATTGTTGTTGTTGTGATAATCGTGTTTTTATTCTCGGATTGCGTGAACTTTACGACGGTCAAACTTTTTTTAAATTTAGAAAATTGAAAAAATTTTGTTTTTAATTAAAAACTTTTTTGGGGAAATATGTAGGTAGAAGGGATAGTCAATAACATATCGCGACAGCTTTGATATATCGTAATTTTAAAATATTGCGTTATAAAGATTATACCTGAAATTTGTGGAAAAAATCTTGATTGAGCATTGAAATCCTTGAGCAACAAATGTCTATATAACAATAGTTTTCTATAACAAATGAATTTAAAATTCTGAGCAATTCATTATAAAAGAGTTCCATTTACTATTGTAACATTCAATTTAAAAATGTCTTGTCGTTTATAGCTTTGTCAATTTCCGATCTATCTCGGTAAAACTTTTTTTGTTTTTTACTTTGCTACGTATGCTTTCTATAGACAGCTAGCGTTAGACCGGTAAAGAGGCTAGACCTATTTTTTTGTCTTGTAATCACCTTTATCTAAATATCTTTGAAATCAGATTTGTTGTAGGCTTTTGTCAAACCAAATCTTTTGTTGCAGGATTTTGATTGCTCACGTGTGTAAGCATGGCATTTTTTAAATTTTCTTTAGCTTGGCTTAATGAGCTTTCTTTCAAGTATAGACTAGCATAAAATGGTAGCCAACATTGTTGTATTCTTAATTATTTTACAATTTTTCCAACGCTCTTGACAATATTGAGCATGAACAATAGTGTTTGCTTAAAATTGAGCTTCTTAAAACTCTAATTCGACGTGAACTTTATATTTCCTGAATTTTGTTTGCCCTTCAAGAGTCGCTTTGTTTGCATTTTACGCCGCAATTTTTGCTTAATATTTCGCGTGTTGTATCGACGTATGTAATGACAGCTTTTCGTACAGTTTATGACAACTTGACACGTGTCTGTGGGAATTGGATAATTTGAAATGGCATTCTTTGGTCTTTATTTGGTATAAAAGGACGAGTTTGTAAAACTTTTTGTAGAGGAGTGATTTTAGTAAAAAAAATTTTTGAGTGTAGTTTTTCTTCCTTTTTAACTATCTTCATACCTTGTTCTTGATTAAAAAAGGTATTGATCACAACCATATATATGACAACTATTATTATTTATAACCACTAACTATAACCTACTACCACATACTATCCATCTTAATAGCTATTTTTAGTGCCCGCCGTCTTAATAATATATTATAAAAGGCGCTAAGTTGTGTGTTTTGTATAAAAAACCGCAGTAAGGAGATAACACAACAAAAACATACGACGCGTCGCCTTTTCTTACAATACCAGTTCTGCAGGTAGTTACTGTTAATTCTTATGTGTATACAAAGTGTGCGGGTTATAAAGTTATTAATAATTATTGGGTGGTTACTTGCAATGTTAGGCGTATTTTTGTTGGGTAGGAGAGAGCAAATTATTGCAGGTGTGGGAAGGTAAGGTGTCTTTAGACTAGGGAGGGTACTGTAGCCTAAAAATACGGTATTTTTTATTGCGGTCGGTACTAGGATTTATTTGATTTAAGAAAGGATAGAGGGTGGAAAAATGGGAAAGTTTATTTTTATGGCTTATGATGGGCAACACCCTCACTTTCTCTGAGTTAAACTTCTTGCTTTCCCAATCCTCCTTGTGGTTTTTGAGGCCAATACTCAAAAAAAATCTAAAAAATTCTAAAAATGCTTGCTTGTATGCCTTATGCATACGGTAAGACCTTGCCGTTCACGCTAAATTTAGGAGCAAGAATATTACGTCGCAGTTCGGATCAAGTTTTTCTTGTATTCGGATCTGTTGAAGCGTGCAATTGTTCCATCCGATTGGTCATTTCCATTGCTCAAAAACAAGAATCGGAACAGTTAGAAGCGAATGCCAAACTAGCCGTGAAACACGCCGTTCCAATCGTTTTGAAATAAGCGGCTAGATGAGTTTCTGTATTATTAGGATGTTTTTTGGCTTCTGGAAGCTTAATTTGGCTTTTTTAAAAATTTTGGAAAAAAAATTTAAAAAAAAATTTTTTTTTGAAAAGCTTTAACTGCAATTTGTTTTACGTAATGATCTAAAAGAGCTACTCGCAAGAGCAAGGTGGAGCAGAAGAAGTCATCCTAAAAAAAATTGAGAGAATTTGAATGTTCACAGAGAGCTTCCTACAAACACTGACATTATGTTGCAGTCTTATACCTTGGGCGCTTCTTGCCTTTTTGGCGATTTTTCTTTAATATTATGATAAAAAGCCTTTTCCTTTTATATGTAAAGTTGTAAGTCTTTTTGTGTATAACATCAAAAAACGTTCTTGTTAGACAATGCCAAGGTTTCCAAAATGGTGTGAAGTCTAAAATTTAAATATTTCACTTTTAAAACGCAAAACTGCAAGCTAATATTTTTTGTGTGTCATACTGGTGCTACTAAAAACTCAACTAAAATTTTGAGCACATCTAGAAGGTTGCATTTAAAGTAATTTTTTTCTTTAGGCTTTGATTGCTTTTTAAATTTAAGTTTTTAGTCAAAAGCTTTTTTTGCCTTCTTGAGCCATATGTACACTATGTGATTTAATTTTTTTAAAGTTTAAAACTTTAATGTCAAACATTAAACTAGTACACGTCTCTCTATCTAAATTTAGCCCCTTAACCAAGTTGCCGACTTCGCCTAATCCGGCGATTTCAAAATTGCCGTCGAACCTTTTTTGTTGCGTTTGGTTAAGCAGCTCGCTAGCTAGCTGGCGTGTTGCCGTTCCAACAGTTTTCGAGCCGCCCTCTCGAGAGGTGGTGGTGTTCTCGAACCGGCTCGAGAGGCTCGTTAAAAATAGTCGAAGATCAGGTGTCGAGAAGGGGGAACGGTCGTGCGACGATCGTTTTACTACCTCATGCTTCAGATGCTTAATTCGGATGGGGGGAGGTTCATTGACTGGGGAGGTTCATCGACTGGGGAGATTCATCGACAGAGAGAGGATTTATCGATGATTAGTTGAGCGCGAGGTTGTCTGTTAAGTGGGGAAGGTGAGCGAGTGATTAGAGATTGATTATTTGAGGGAAGAGAGACATTGTTTGTTATTATATTAACGATGATATAGGGTAATGGAGGCAGGTATGGGTTGAGTGATTGCTTTGAGTTTTGGAGGTGATAATGGTGATTTTATTGATTAAAAAGGCTTTGTTAACAATAATGTTTGATATGAAAGTAAAAAATATTTTGTTTTGCAAAACCTATATTACTTTTTTTAAATTTTAGGTAACAATTTAAAGTTTATAGGTAAAGGATTAAGGTTCTAAAGTATTTTTAAATCTTGTTTTTGTGAGTTAGTACGTATTTTCATCTGTGAACGTGATAGGTCTAAAGAACTGAAGAAAGTAAACATTAGATGTTTCTAAAAGGCTCATTAGCCCTTATTTCGTACTGGTTTTAGTTCCTCAACATTTGGTTAATTTTATGGTGTAAAGAAAATTCTACTTTATATACTAAACTGTATTTGGTACTACGGTAATTTTACGGGTTTTATATCAAAAAAAAATTAAAAACTTATGAAAAACAAAAGATAATAAACTTTTCAATTTTTACAACCCAGAACGTCAAAATTGAGGAAAATGCACTTTTGGGGTTGTATTAACTCGTTTTTGCTCTGTAATCTTTATATTAGTTTGTACTTTCTTCAGCGACGATTTTATGGATTCAGATGACTCAACGGCTCGCTCGAATCTGCTCTTTTCGAGATTATTTCAGAATTATATAGAACAGCGGAAGAACGTCTTTAAACGTTCTTACTTTTTACGTTTGACAAGGTTTTAAAGTCAAAATTTTTTAAAGATTTAAGCTGTTTTGTTCTTTTTGAAATTTTAAGAAGTTTAAGCAATTTAAATTACAATTTTTTAAGTATTTTAAATGTATTTTTAAATTTATTTTAATTTTTATGTTGCCTCTCTGAACTATCCGTATTTTACAAAAAAAAACAAAGGATTGTTCAATATTTACATGTATTTATGCTCTTGTAGTAATTTTACCATGATGTAAGATCCATTCCTTCTTTATTTCCATTGTTATGTCTTCTAAATAGTTATACGCATCATTGTTAACTCATGCCATTTCGGTTGTTATGTAATGGGCCAAAAGTGGGTGGTTTATTACAAGTTGTAGATATATCATTTCAATGTTTCTTAACAATTATTAAAGATTTTGCGAGAAAAAATGACGTTTCAATAGATTATTTGATGCTCGAAAAAGCGAGAACGTTATATTGAGGTAGGCGGGAATCAAAATTTTTTTTCAAATTTGGGGTAATTAAAATAGTTTTTTGAAACGCATCAGGAAACACGACGTTCAAATCCTTCGAAAGAAGCAATCTTTGAAGCTACACACAATTTGAAAAAAAGTGGTACCATCAGTCCCATTAGTACCAAAAGCCCTATTTTTATCAAAACAACGGTTAAATTTAAAATTTTCAAGTTTTTAAAACCACCTGTCCCAAAAATAGTTGCGGTTAATAACGAAATGTGCTGTCTAATCAGCTTTACTCCTTTCCGTTCACTATATCCGGTTCTCAATCAACGCAAAACCCCCCTTCGTTGAAGTTAAAGAAGGCTTTTTTGGATATTTTTTGCGTTTTTTCAAAACAAATGCAAAATTCAATTTTTTTCTTTTGTTTTTACTTTTTTGCAACGAAGC